ACTAAACAAACAACAAATCGGATAACTTTATCATGTCTGCATTAATATAGTGGATTTTAGTGATATGGTACAAATCTGATCTACTCACTGTAAGTCTGTGCTTTCCTTTGTAAATCTTCCCACTACAAATCAGTTCCTAAAATGGATAGGTTTTCAAAGGACAGAGTGGTGTAAATTCACTTAAAAAATTTTTTTAAGGTACATTTTTATGAAGCTTTCTCTTCATAATTTGGTAAAAGTCATTTTTCATTTCAGAAAGGGAATTTTGACAAAAACTCCTTTTTGGACATACCCAACCCATGTTTGAAAAAGCAAGTGATTATCTTTTGATCTAATTGTGAAATTATTAAAGAAATGTGATTGTTCCTATCATCTAAAGATAACCCCAGTGTTGAAAAGGTAAATGGTATTGCCTTTTAGTTTAATTCTTCTATAGAAATTGGTCGCCGATGGTACATTTAAAAAATCTATATCTTTTCCACTTATTTCAAAAATGCTAATTTTAAAATGCCAATATTCAACACAAACTACAAAAGTGGGTTCTTATAATTAAATTGTTACTTAGTGCACAGTTTGACTTTTAAATGTCTATCTTTAGATCTGTAGGTTTAGTTCTAACTCTAATATTTTACTAGAATATTTCTAGTACTTGATTCAGTAGTTTAAAAAATAATGAAAATCTTGGGGCATTTTTTTATATGCAGGATATTTAGCAACAAAGTCTTATCAAAATAAACTAGATTTAGAACCAAATCCACGTTATTCAAATTACCAAAAGTTTTATGAATAGCTGGTATTTTGATATTCATTGCCTAAAATTTTTTTATTAATAGTGTTTACACTCACATGTATGTACTGCTCTCCCCCATGGAACCAGAAATAAACCCCTTCTATATAATTAATTTTGATTTATAAATGAATGTTTTGAATTTCAAATGAAAAAGACAAATTAGTAGGAATATTTGCAAAGGAAGGAACTATTACACTGTCCACTTCTTGATTAGGTTCTGAAAGTATTCTGCTCTCAGCAATGAAAGGAAACAACCCAGCAATCACCAGAACTGTTCGTTTGCTCTCTAGAGCACCTTGCAACCCAGTAATTGAGCAACATTCAATTTTATATACAGTAGTAGTATTCAACGTAGGTCTGCTCTGGGCTATTAGGGCTGGGGTCTATCAGACACATCAATCATCTTTAGGACTTCTTCCAAGCCTATATCCAAAGCTTTTTCCTATTAACCTAAACAGTTTCCACTGAACCAAGTACCACTCAAATATATATGTCTTATAATCAGGAAAATTATAGAGTCTATGTTGAGAAAAACCAGACTCAGCTCAGATCATACCTTTGTCATAAGTTTATATGCCTATTTGTGTTTTAAATTATTGAGAATTTAATAAGTTTTCTTAGAATTGGAAAATTGGCAATCCAACAATATAACTAAAAGCAGGTGCTAAAAAGTATTTCAATGTGTAGTAAAAATGAACAATAAATCAGGAGTTATTTCAGTACCTACTAGTATAAAATCTTATACAAACCATTCTACATGCTTAAAGGATCACTTACTACCATAAAAAGTAGCACTTTGTTTTCAGCCTTATCCCAATCAAAAGAGAGGTAACTCCAAAGACCCAGTAAGATCAAAGTAAAAATTACCTGGCTATCTGAATATACAAAAATGCTGACACAATACTTATGTATGCTGCACACACAAAAATGCTGTAAGAACTTAACTATGATAATTCTTAACATGTCTACACTCTGAGATATCAGTGTAAGAGAAAGGAAAATCAAGGATGGTTCTTTTTAATAGTGTAATGACTGAATTATCCAGTTATCATTTCTGGGGTCACTTCAGTCAACCCAATGACTAACTTACAATCAAAGCTGATTCATATCCAATCTTGTGATTCCATTTTACAAAAGTAGGAACTAAGTGTCTACTGGTATCAGTCACTGGTCTCTTACTGAGGTCCAGTGAAGTCAGGGCAGATTTTTAAGTAGCTGTTCCAGATTATCAAGTTTCTTCTTATTGGTCAATCATTTCATTTAAATATCAACTCACACAGAACATTGTCAGTTCCTATACAAGCATCTTGGGTCTATACTTGCTTCTCACTGTTACCTCCAGCACCCACTGCAATGGCTTACTCATAGGATACACACTCAGTACATGTTTGTTCAATGCATTTGCTTCAACAGGTCAGCAAACAGGCAGTAGACAAGGGAAAAATCAGCAAGTGAGGAAATGGGATCCAAGGTCATAGCCAAGGAAGAAACCTATGGGAATTTGGTTTCCAGAACACGATGCCAATAACCTGATATGAACTCAATCAAGTTGATGGAAAAGGATAGCTTTCCAAAGAATAAGAATACAAGCCATGGCTTGGGAGAAAATATTTACAAAAGACGTATCTGTTAAGGGATAATTACCCAAAATATACAAAGAACTCATTTACAACTCAAAAATAAGAAAACAAAACAACCCAATTATAAAGTGGGCAAAAGACTTTTAACAGACACCTTACCAAAGAAGATACACAGATGACAAGTCAGCATATGAAAAAATGCTCAACATAATATCATCAGACATCACAAATTAAAAAGAGATACTACCCAACACCCATCAGAATGACCAACATCCAAAACACTGACACCACCAAATGCTGGTGAGGAGGTGGAGCAGCAGGAACTCCCATTCACTGCTGGTGGGAATGCAAAATGGTGCAGTCACCTTGGAAGACAGCTTGGCAGTTTCTCACAAACTAGACATATTTTTAACATATGATCCAGCAATCATGCTCCTTGGTATTTACCCTAATGAGATGAAAACTTAAGTCTACACAAAAACCAACACAGGGAGGGTTATAGCAGTTTTATTCGTAATTGACAAAACTTGGAAGGAATCAAGATGTTCTTCAGTAGGAGAATGGATAAACAAACTGTGGTACAACCACACAGTGGAATTACTCAGCACTAAAAAGGAATGAGCTATCAAGCCATGAAAAGACAGAGGAACCTTAAATGCCTATTACTAAGTGAAGTCAAGTTGACCTGAAAAAGCTATATACTGTATGACTCACATTCTGGATAAAGCAAAGCTATGGAGACAAAAAAAAAACCACTGGTGGCCAGGGATTGAGTGGTGGGAGAGAGGGATGAGAAGGTGGAACACAGGATTTCAGGGCAGTGAAGCTGCTGTGTATGACATGATAATGGTGGATATCTGTCCCTTATACATCTGTCCAAACCCACAGAATGGACACCGCCAAGAGTGACCCTAATGTAAAGTGTGGACTCTGGGTGATAATGACGCATCAGTGCAGGTTCATCAGTTGTACAGATGTCCCATCTGGTAGGGATGTTGATAGTGGGGGAGGCTGTGTGTTTCATGCCGGATGGGGGGATGGGGAATCTCTGTACCTTCCCCTCAGTTTTGCTGTGAACTAAAACTGCTCTAAAAAATAAAGTAAGAAAAAGAATAGCTTATGATGCTGTTAAGAGAAAGAAAGTCAATATAAGACTTGATTTTAGGTGTTTGCATCACTTGGCTTAACATAAACACTGTTGGCCTCTAAGAACTTTCAGAGGAAAGTGCTCTGTAATGAAGAATCAAGTTTTTTGTGCTTCCTATTTTTAAAATGAAATGTAACCTCAATTATGCTGCTTTATTTTATTCTGAGATAATTTCAGGAAAACATTGGGGAAAAATTACATATGGAAGGTAGAGATGAAACTTTTTTTTCCTATGAAGAAAAACAAGAGTTGATGATAAATGTAGGTTATCTGGGGGAGGCATCTGAAATTTGTCCTGTTTCATCACACTATTATCAGGGAGAACCATTCTCCCTGGGCAGATTAATGCCAGGTGAGGCTGTACTGCTTGGATCCACCCACACACAGTACCATCTACTCAACACTTAGGAAGTACTGGGCTCCGAGTCTGAAACTTACATGTAGTTCTCACAACTGCCCTGCGGGGGCACATTTCTTGAAAATTTATACATTAAAAACACTGAAATTCACGAGCATTAACTTTTCTAATATTACACAGTTAGTGAGTAGAAGAGCCAGAATTCATTTTAAAACCCACCTACCTCCAAAACCCAATTCCTTTCCACATTACTCTGCTGGTAGTTATTTCAGACACTCATCCATTCTGGAAGAACATTGTAAAACCATTGACATCATCTTCTTCCTATTCCTCATGCTCCCAACCTCCTGACAATGGAATTTATCACATCTCCCTGACTCTGGGTTCAGCAGAGTCAGCTCAAGGGGTTGGCAGATGACCCAGGTCTGGCCAATCACTGTATCCTAATCCTTTTATCTTGAGTGATTTGTCCTGGTGTGGACTGTTAAGCCTCAATTTCAGGTTTTCTGTCTGAACTGTGACAGAAGGGTGAAATGCAGAGCTGGAGCTGCTGGCAGTCATCCTGTATTGTAAAAGAGCCTGAGACGAGAGCCCAACACAGAGAAAGCAAACACAGAGAAAGCAGACGCAGAGAGCAAGCCCTCAGTAGGCTGTCCCCACTCTGAATCCCACAGCACCTGAAGCTAGGGTCTTCTCCTTGTTATGTGAACTAGAAATTTCCTTTTTAAAATTTATTTATTATGCATAAGCGAAGTGTGAAGTGGGCTTCTTGTCTTTTGCATCCCTAAATAATATACTGCTCTACTTACTTAAGAATGTATACCTCAACACTGCTGTTGGATTGTAAAAAGGTGCAGCCACTTTGGAACACAGTCTGGCAATTCCCCAAAATGTTACACTCCACTCCTAGGAACTGCAATAATATATCCACACAAAATCTTGTTCATGAATGTTTATAGCAGCATTATTCGTAATAAATAGCCCAAAAGTGAAAACAAAAATGTCTACTGACTAATAAATGGTCTAAAAAAATGCAATATATCCATACAAGGGAATATCGTTTGGCCATAAAAAGGAATAAAGTACTGATGTGCTATAGCATGGATGACCCTTGAAAACACAGGGTATGTAAAAGAAGCCAGTCGCAAAAGACCATATATGTACGATTGTATTTATATGATTACTTACTTAAGAATGTATACCTCAACACTGCTGTTGGATTGTAAAAAGGTGCAGCCACTTTGGAACACAGTCTGGCAATTCCCCAAAATGTTACACTCCACTCCTAGGAACTGCAATAATATATCCACACAAAATCTTGTTCATGAATGTTTATAGCAGCATTATTCGTAATAAATAGCCCAAAAGTGAAAACAAAAATGTCTACTGACTAATAAATGGTCTAAAAAAATGCAATATATCCATACAAGGGAATATCGTTTGGCCATAAAAAGGAATAAAGTACTGATGTGCTATAGCATGGATGACCCTTGAAAACACAGGGTATGTAAAAGAAGCCAGTCGCAAAAGACCATATATGTACGATTGTATTTATATGAAATCTCCAGAACAGGCAACACAATAGAGATGGAAAGTAGATTAATGGCTGCCAGGGGCTGGGGAGAGAGGGAGAGTGGGGAGTGACTGTGGGGACAGGGTTGTTTCTGCAGTAATAAAATGCTCTGAAATCATATGGTGGTGGTGGCTGCAAGACTCTGTAAATATACTAAAACCACTGAATTGTATACTCTACAATGGGTCAAACTGCATGGTGTGTGAACTGTGTCTCAATAAAGCTGCTATTCTATTCATAGATTGATTTTTAAAAATATTTACAGCACTACTACTGAAAATATAAATTTGGAGTCTATGAAGGATTTCCTATAAGTATATTTTTCTAAATTATCCTACATAAAATATATTACAATATTATTTTAATGAATATAAATCATCAAGAAAATCTTACAAAGAAAAAAAATAAGGACAAAATTACACAGTTTTGATACTTCCTAAGACATAGATTTTTCTGTAAGTTCAGCTATACAAATATACAGTAAAATTTAAATAAATCCAGTTGCTTTATACAAAAGAAGTACCCTAACACAGTAGAGTCTTGTAATGTCTTAGCAAACACCAATTTGATGCTTAGGATTTTAATGTTAACAAATTTTCAAACTCAGGCAAGTTTAGATATGTCTTCATACTGAATTCCTTCAACTCTGCGTCCTTTTAAAGGGCCCTACAAATTAAAATAATTGAAGAAAAGATTAAGAACACACATGTACTTACAAGACAAGAAAATGACACTACACTTCTGGATATAAATTTGCTTTGCCATAACCCTAGAATACCATTAAGGCAGCAAGTATTTCCACATGTTTGTAACTTGTAAAAATATACTACATGCTCTCATTACAACACTGAGTGTCCTCAGTGGTATGGGGTGTGTCACAAGGGGCTGCGGCTGAGGGCTGCAAGCTGTGTGGCACCTCCTGCTTCCTGGGTGGCCACTTGTCCCCATTCCCTGAGTGGTCAGATGTGGTCCTAAGGCAGAGCTCCAGCCACAGATGTGCACAGCAGTGACGCATGCCACGTGACACGCAAGCCATCACAGCACACAAACCACTTGCTGAAGACGGTAGAGCCATGAGTAGAAGATCCTTGGCTCACAGAACACACTTTAGAAAAGAGCTGCTCCCTGATCAAGAATGCCTGTTTTTGACTTTAAGAATGAGAAGTTAGCATCTGTCACGTTTGTGCCATTATCAATTTGGGAGTTTTTTTTTTTCTTTAACAGAAAATAGCATTATTTTAGGCACCACAGATACTCATACTCAAATATGTTTGTCTAGTTTAGCTGTGACAGACTGGTCTTCATTACAAAACATGAGTCCAAACTTCAATATATTTTCTTGCCCTGTTCATTTCCAACAGGAGGGGGCAGAGACAAACTGGAAATGAAAGGTAATATCTGTCAGAAAAGCTGATGCTACCTGGGAACAGAGACTGAGAACATGGACTCTGGATCCAGGCTGACCAAGTTCAAGTCGCACCTTCAGCAAGTGATGGGATCCCTTGGTGGCCCGCTGTACCCTAGCAGGGAACAGTCACAGTACCTCTACCAGGAGGCTGATATATACATATATCATATAAATTTACATAAAGTGCTTAAACCATCACTAGAACATAATGAGAATATGAACACAATAATTCTCAACTCTTATTACTAAATCTTTTGGTTAAAATTTGAAAGTTGGTCCTCTCCCTTGTAAAATATAAAGTGATGTTGATAACGGTGACAATGTTGATGCCTCTAACCCTGAACTGAGATTTTAACATTTTTTATTGAGAATCATACTTTCCCTTACAAATGCCTTTAAAAAGCTATCCTTTCAATATATAAGAATGGTTGTATTTAAAAAAGCATGACCCAGCAGACTGACTGAATCTTTCATTATCAAGTTGAAAGGTCTATGGTCAATTACACATTTATAAGAACACAGAGCTGGGAATAAAATGGAGGCCAGCCACTAGGTTAATTAGGCAAAGTGCTGAGGATGTTTTTGAGTAATTTGTTAACAATCTAAAAATCTGCTTAATAAATGTGTACATTTCAAACATTATGAGACTGACGGTATAGCAGGAGAATAACAGGAGAAATCACTTGAAAAGTTCATGCATTTCGAGACAGTGACTCAGAGAAAACACAGGGACATGAGAGACCAACAGGCAGACACATGCACAGAAATGTAGATTTTTTTTTTTTTTAAATGGGGGCAGGCTGCAAAAGGAAAAGAAAAAAAAATCCCCCAAATTAGCAGGTGGATTTCCTCTTCCAAAAGTATGTGCTGTTTTGTAATCAGCCAGAAGGCTTTATGTGTGGATTTCCCCCTGGGTTCCATCTCAGCACAGCTCTGCAAGTAATGACAGCTTTAGAAAAGAGGAGGACACTGTGTGAGGCAGGGAGGGAGGGCGGAGACTGGCCGGGGAAAATCACACCAACTGCACCCACAGGTGTCTGCATGGAACCTAGAATATCCTCAACAGGAATCGTTGTTTTGTGTTTCCTGTGATGAAAACATGAAGCAGGATCTAGAGTGGACAGTATTATGCAGTTAAAAAGTGGAGGAGAATCATTCTTCCAAGGGAATATGAGATTTTTCCATGACTGATTCTGACTCTCCAAGGGGTCTATTACCCCCAAAATACTACAACTTCCTGTCCTGGAGATGAAGAAGTATGTCACTTAAAGACAGTGCAGTAGTTCAGAGTTCTGGCAAGAATCAGGCAGTCAGGCAAAGCGCATTTCAGATCTTTCCTTCTGATGACCTCTTATGCCTCACTCACAGACCTGTCAATGACTTACTGTTCTAAATCAATCAACACTTTTACTTGCACATCAGTGTTCTCTAAATTAATCGCTTTATTGATCTGTTACTTTAAACCCTTTATAAAAGGGGAGGCATTTAAAAAATTGGTGTCTGCCCTTTCTGCCATTAATCATGACTACCCACTCCAGCTAATGATATCACACCCCACTGGGTTTTATGTTACATGTGAGAGAGAACAGGTCAGGATACAACCTCCACACATTGTGTACAACTCTATAAAATACAAATATTGGAAAGGTACAGACCAGAAGAGTGGGAGTTTTTGTTAGGCTGGGGATGATGGGTAATTTTTAAAATTACTTGTATTATATTGTATTTCTCAGGTTTTATTGCAAGGAGCATTGTTATAAACTGAATGTGTCCCACCCAAAATTCATCCTTGGCAACCTAATGCCCAATGTGATGGTATGCGGATATGGGGCCTTCGGAAGGCAAGTAGGTCATGAGGGTGGAGCCCCATGATGGGATTAGTGCCCATATACAGGGACCCCAGAGCACTCCCTTGCTCCTTCCACACATGAGGACATATGAACCAGGAAGCAGGCCCTCACGAGACACCACATTTGCCAGTGCCTGGATCTTGGACTTCTTGCCATTAGCATGGTGAGAAACAGATTTCTGATTTATAAGTCACTCAGTCGATGGCCTTTTGTTACAGCAGCCTGAACAGATAAGACACCTACACATTTCTTTTGAAATCAGAAAATAAAATGCTTTAGCAATGGCAGAGTCATTAGGGAAAATAAGCTTACAGGTTTCCAAACAGGAGAGGAGACAAACAAAAAACCCAAACCCTAAAGCAAAACAAAGACCAATCGAATGAAAAAGAAATATATAGCACATCATAAAAGCAGTTGGAAATTTGTCTTTGGGTAAACACACTTACAGTTTCAATGACTATTGTAGCTGAAAAAGTCTTCTCACTGATGGATTCTAAGGTAGCTTCATTTCCTCTGTAGCCTCCATTTAAAACGAGAATTCTTTTTCCTACAATTGAAAAGAATGTAACATTGAATACAAAGAAAATGTCCACATTTTTCTTGTACTTTGTTATAGCAATCAATTACGATGAATGAACAAAACAAAAATAAAACCATTCTCTTAGTTCTTAATCACTTAATATTCTAAATAATATTTAAATATCTAATAGTTTATAGATACATTGATTACAATAACATTATAAGACTCGTTTTTTTACTTATGTGTCAAAGGGATATGCTTTAACTTTACAATGCAAGGAGTATTAAAGTACTTGGAGAATGCTAAGAATCCAGAGTAACCAGAAAAAAATTAGATTATTTCAATTTGTCTTTTTTAGGACCTGTAAGACGGTTTGGCAGTTTTATAAAAATGTTAAACATATGCTCACAATGTGAGTGAGCCATTCTAAGTATTTTCCCAATAGAAAAGAAATCAATGTCCATATGTAGATTTGTATGTGAATATTCACATTTTATTTGTAAGAGCTAAACATTAAATAATCCAGATGTCCATCAAAAGGTGACTATATACTTAAATGGCAGCATACTCATACAATGAAATACAGTCTCAGCAATAGAAAGGTGTGAACTACAGATGCATACAATACAGAAGAAGTGAAAAAAAGCCAGAAAAAGAAACATGATACACGGTATGTTTTATTCATACAAAATTCTAGAAACATATGAACTCATCTATAGTCATGGTAAGTAGATAGGTGGTTGCCTGGTGGGACATGGGAGGCAGGAGCAGAGGGTTGCCAGGTAAGATCCTGAAGGGCAATGAGGAAACTTTAGGGGGTGAAGGAGGTATTCATTATCTTGATTTTAGGGATGGTTTCAGGGGCATATTCATGTGTTAAAACTTATCAAATTGTGTATTTTAGACAAGTTATAATCATAGCGTTTATACTAGATATGTTTAAGTACCCAAATGATCCACACAATTAAAGAAAACATAAAATAATAGACTTTTACTTTACTTTCTCATGCAGCTAAGCAAATATATTAACAACTCTAATATGACTGATTTTTCCCAGATATATCTGTGTGTGCTTCAGAAAGAATTTAAAAAAAGAATCCTAGGAAGGGAGATTTATTCATACAACAATATAGCTTTCTCAGAGGACTGGTGATGTAACTAGCACATCACCTGAAGTCAGTTATATTGGCAGTTAAATATTTCTAAAAAGGAAACTTGTATCATCAACTAACAATGAATGCCAAAAAACAATGTTTTTAAGAATGGAACCATTCATTTCACTAGCAAAGACATTAAATGGTCTGTAAAGAGATTTACCTGGTGCTGGAATTACTGTTTCTAAATGAGTCTGGTCAAGTTTCAGCTTGTCTCCAGAGTCAATCATCTTTACAACAGCTGTATATTTGTCAATTACTTCCTGTCATGTGAAATCAACACTTTTATAATAAAAGAAATATGTGAACACAAATTTCAAAGGCCAAAAATAGATAAAATGAAAACAAATGAAGTCCCAGTCATTAAGATAAGAGTAACTCCTTCTATAAATGAAATTGCTTTCTATATTAGAAATATGATTCCTCAGTCTATGGTTCTTAATAAAGAATTCAATTCAAAATTTAGTTAAGGTTTTCATCCAGAAAGAATGAAAGACTGGTGATCTTAAGGACCTCTTTAAGAAATATGGTGAGAGGGTTAATTCTGCCTAGCTTCAAGAAGGGCAATGTATGCATGCACAGTGCTGGGTGCTGGAATGAAACTATATTTAGGATTTGATAATATGGGTACTGTTGAACCAATGTGCTGTATACTTGAAATTAATATAAGATTATATATCAATTGTACTTCAATTAAAAAAGAAGAAACTGTATTTAGGAAGTACAAAAGGAAGAAAAAGACTGGAATGTTGATTTTTTAAATTTAAAATCCTAGAGCAGCAAAAAGTCTCTCAGGCAAAACACAAGAAGTTATCCTCGGAACTCTGGGGCATAAGTGTATTGCCTGTCATTAACAAAGAATTTATCTCACTGACTAGCGAAGCAGGCACTTAAAGGTTAAAGGTGTCAATGGGACTTCATACATCTTACTTGCTCCAGTAAGCAAGCAGACCATGGTTAAGTAAAAACTATGGCTGGAAATAAATTATTTCACCAACCATTATGAATTCAGCTTTCCTTTTCTGGAACCATCAAGAATCTTAGACACAATGCCAGTGCTGCTAGGACTTGATGTTTAATCCCATGATAGCTTTACCCTGACCCTAGCACCTTCCACAGACCCATCCTTAACTGCCATCATCACCTTAACAACACCCTTCTTCTTATGATATTTCTCTCCAAGTTTTTTGGTTATAATTTTCACGATGATTTCCTAGAAAATAACAACAGAAGAATAAAGATGAAAAGAAAGGCCTAAGTTGTCTTTTCTTAGTTTATAAAATGAAGCTCTCCAATCTACCTCTGTGGACTGCGGGTTATTCTGACAAACACATCGCCCATGCAAAGTACGAGACGCAGTAAGTCGTCAGAGTGCTGGTGGCTGGTCCTTACTGTAATTTACTCTAACTCTGAGAGGAACTATGGAGAAAAGCTGAATACTGTAATACATGAGAAAACTATCAAACAGAAAATAGAATTCAAGTTCAAGTACTGCCAAGGGGGAAGCGAATTCAGAGACTACTTAGTACTTAGAATGCTTTGTCGTTTTTGCTTTGGTTTGCTTTCTTTCTCCTTTAAATGGATGGTTCTTAACCAAGGGCACATAGCAGAATCACCTAGAAGGCTACTAAAAATATGCATTTTCACCCTAAGGGACTGGAGGCTGCTGGCAGTGAAACATGCATTTTGAAAAACAACTACAAAAATTTCAGTTACTCTCTGGGTAAGAATTAGTACTGTACACAAAATTCTTGATTACATTTTAACAATATATGAAACTATGAATGTCCAAATGCCAGCTTCCCCAATGCGGAAAACAAGCAAAATCATTCACAGATGGTTTCTTCCCTATAGTCCTTTACAATCATCACCCAAACCTCTACTCAGAGATCAGGTGTCAGAGGACTAATGCATCCCAGGAAGCTGTCCTGCCTATTAGCCAAGAGTGCTACCTAAATTTGGTTGCCAGAAATCCTGGCTCACCGCTGGCTGACTCACTGACCTTGGGGAAACTACTCAAATACTCAATTTTCTCACCTGTAGAACAGAAATAATGACAACAAATACCTTATAGGACTGACACAAGAATTAACTGAAATCATTTACATAAAGTACCTATTTTCTATTTAACAGAGCAAGTATTTTTATGTAAGTTATTTCATGATTATCCCCATGATCACCAGGTTAGAATTGTTTCCCATGTCTGAGGACATAAACTAAGATGTGGAAGTTAAATTATTTTCAAGCCATGGAAGAATGACTAGGGGTACTTAATTAATGTTTACAAGCTAATAATATTCCTTGAGTTTAATTTTTTTTTTATGGACACCTTGAATTTAAGCCTGGGATTATTGTCAGCTTTTACTATAAGATAAAGGGCTGTTTTTTTAGAAATGAAATTGAAAGGTAGATTTGCAAATGCAGAATCCTGAATTTCTTGAGCTTCAATGTATTATTAACCTTATTTCTCAATTCAGAAGTTATCTAAATGGTGTGTTACTTTTCACTCTCCTATGACTGATCAAACCAGCTGCTTTAAGAACATCTAAGCCATCCCGAGTTTTATGGAAACTTCATTATCTCAGTAAATTCAAAACAGAGTATCCATACATAATGGTTTTTACATATTTAAGTGTTTGAAAATTAGTATCTTAAAATAATAGCAATAATAAATACACAATAAAATACACTCTTCTCCTTGAGTTGATAAAATTACAACTTGCTTTTTTTTGACAAAGTGCCTAACAGGTATCAAAGTCCAATAAGTTGTAAACTGAAAACAAATTCTTTGGCATTTGCAAATCTACCTTTCAATTTCATTTCTGAAAACACAGCCCTTTGTCTTATAGTAAAAGCTGACAATAATCCCAGGCTTAAGTTCAAGGTACCCATAAAAAAAAAAAATTAAACTCAAGGAGTATTATTAGCTTGTAAATATGAAGTACCCCATCCAATACTAACACTTAAAGGTCAGATGGCAGAAAAGTCATTGAAGTTATAAATCTATGTAATTTACATACATTTGAGGAATTTAGTCATTTATGCCAAATGCATCTTAAATCTTCCACTTAGAAGTTGGAGCGTGCCCAGCACCCTGGGTACTCACAGGCTGCAGCCAGCAGTCTGTCCGAGAGGTTCTCTTCATTTCCTCTTCAATCTGTGGAGCACACAAGGCATTCATAAGACTCTTTAAAATCGTCAATTTATTTCAAATACCATTCTATTTAGCAAAAGAACACCCTGTACCTCTCTCAAGGCATCATGTTCACCATGCTCCAGCCACACAGTTCTATCTGCCTGTCCTTCCTGCCTCAGCACCTTTCCATGCTCCCCATGCCCAAACCCTCTTAGCACTCAGCATTTTGCAATTGCTTATTTCCTGGTTCACTTGTTCATGGAATACCTCCCTCACTATAAGGAAAGCTCCAAAGCACACAGGCACTGTGATTTTCTCCCTGCTACACAGATGCAATACCTTGCAGAACACCTAGCACACAGTGACGACTTAGTATCTGTTGGATGATGAACAGCCACATCACACAGTGAGCAGGTTATATTATACTTTCAGCCGTTCAGGCTGCTGTGCACTGTGTGAGGACATAGGAACAGGGAAGACTGAACAGTCACCTCCTATCCCTTCACAAATGAGACCAGAGTGCGTGATGCTACAGGGAGAAAAGGCAGCTTCTTGTATCTACTTATTCTTTTCCTTAGCCTGACCCCTTTTTCTCCTCTTCCACTTATTTCATAATTTCACTGATAAGGTAAGGCTATATGTGGCAAGGGAGAAAGGATGATTTAGGAATATATGACAAACCTTCTAAGAACTGCTTCAGAGTTTCAGATAGATTCAGAGACAAAGCATGGCCCTAGATCCAGATAATCACAGGTTTTCAATGATTCATCTTATAAACTTAGCCATCAGGTTAAACCAAATTAAAAATATGTCACAGCTTTCTCTTGCTGGCAAGTAGATAGAAGGTGGAAGCCAGAGGCAATAAGAGAAGAGCACAGGTTGATGGTGGGGATCCAGGGAGATGCCAATTTCACAGAACCACAGACAGAAAGTACACAGAGCTTCCATTTGTAGCTTCTTAACTACTGGCGTCCTTCTAATTTAATTACTGACCATGAATACACAGAGAGTTTTGAAGACAGCACTAGAAGCAAGAAAATAAGCCCAGCTGAGCAGACTCTGACTCTATTCAGATGGAACTGCATCTAGGCTCCTTTTCCCTACTAGGTATATGCACATTTTTCAAACTATATTAATCTAATAATTGGTGAAATTATTTAACTTTCCTTGGTTTGAGTTACATCATTCCTCTAGGTACTAAGAGGTGAAAAGCAGCTCATATACTGTACCTCCATGATTTCATCAAGGGCAGATTTCTTTTTCTTCTTCTCTTTTGACTGAGCTGCGCTCCGGGAAGATTCTTTACGTTTCACTGATGCTGAATTCCCCATTGTATTCAATGCGCTTGGTCCCAAAGAACTGATGAAGAGAACCATGCTTGTTAACAAAATCTATGCACAGATGAAGGCTTTATAATGTGCAAAATGAAAACACAAAGAAATGTGTTCCACCATTAGTTTACAACTGATCAGTCAAAACTCTGAAGGATCTGCCTTCATCTCTAACAGGACTGTAAGCACCATGAGAACACGTAACTCTTCCTGTCTTAATTAACTCCCTGCCTTCAGTTAGTGCCACTACAGTCAGCAGCACTGGCTTTGGGGTTAGGCATATCAGGGTTGGAGGGTACTTCCACTAGGATCTTGAGCAGTTACTTTTCCTAAGCTCAATTCTTCATCTATAAATGGAGATAATAATGTGACCTAACTCAAAGCTCAACTGTAAGGACTAAGTAAGATGTTTATAAAATGGCTGGCAGAAGTCTAGCACTTTGCTGTCAGTTCTATTATTTAAAAGCAAAGATATCAACATGTCACTTAAAAGTTTGTGATTGCTCCTGACTGCCTAGAGTTGACAGTGTAACTTCTACATCTACTAGTGCCAATATAAGATTGTCACCAGTAGCCCCAGAATAGTCTCTGACTTATTACATTTACTGGCCATTCTGAATAATCTGCTAGTGACTGAGCCATGCCTTGTGCTTCATGCCTCTGCAAATCTGTACATGATTCTTTTATACTTAAAATAATCTCCCCATTTATTAAAATTATTTAAGATTCATTCTTCATGAGACTTCTAGGATCTTTCTGTTTTTTTAGCTGCTGTAGTACTTTATGGAATTCATCACACTCAAAACAAAAAAACTAAGTTAGATCTTAAATAAACAACATATAAAATAGTAAGCAAAATAGCGAATATTACCCAAGTCAAGATTAAGTTCTAGTAAATACTGGTACCTTCCTGAGTATCTTGTCTTATTTATTCTTTTAATCCCTATAAGTACACTGAATGCACTGCATATCATAAAGATCTGGTGGAAGAATTGATAAGAATTGCAGAAGAGAACATGAGAAGCAGACAGAAGTATGTGGCTACATGCTCTTTCCCTAGGGGGCAAGTCCAGCCTGCTGCTTATTTTCACAAATGTGATTTTACATTCATTCGTCTACCTGTTGTCTATGGCTGTCTTCTCACTTGGAAGCAGTTAAGCAGTTGTGAGGAGGACATATGACCAATGAAATCTAAAATATTTACTATGTGGCCCTTTTCAGAAAAGGTTGGTTAATTCCTGCTCTGTGTTGCACTGTCTAGGAGGGAAGGCAATTATTACTGGGTGCCTACTAGTGCATCTATACTGTACTAGATGCTGAGGGGATTGGTGAATAACAGTTTCTATTTTCAGAAAAATAATAACAGCAGGTAAAACAACAAACATACACCTCAGGCAATACCTAAACTTACCAGTGGCTATGACAGAACAACAAACAGTATTACAGTAGCACAGAAGGAACCATTAAGTAGAGAATGACTCATGCAGAAGCAATAGTTTATCATGTGAGGCATTTAACCAAAATGAACCTTTCTTCAAAAGACAGAAGCATTTCATCATAGGCAAACAGAAAAAACATTTGCTAAAAAGATTAAGTGAACAAAAAATTATCAAACAAAAAAGTTACAACCCAGAAAAAAATAATTCACAATACTTCAGCTTTTAAAATGTTATCAACATTCCACAACAATTTGCAAGTTTTAAGATACCTGTTCATATAGCTCACCTTGATTTGGAAGATGCCGTAGCTGAACTACATGCTCCTTTACTCAAATTAAATGTAACTGCAAGAAAAAAATTGATGTTTCACATATTTAAGGAAAAGTAAAATAAAACTTGTAAGATACCACAAATGTATCCACGTGGGCACACGCATACATTCTGAATGAATGAGATCTGGAATGCTCCTGTCCAGAAACAATTCATGCCTGTAGAATACACAGGGTGGGCCCTCACACAGCAGGGCAAGCCCTTCAGCTGATGGAGCTGACACCCCACGCCCCCCTCACCCCTTGTCAACAGAACTCCAACTCTCTGTAGCTGCCCATGCTGCTCACATGGGGCTTGAAGGGTGCTATGTTCTGAATGTTTGTGCCACCCCAAATTCCTGTGGTGAAGTCCTAACACCCAAGGTGGCGGAATTAGAAGGTGGGGCTTTTAGGAGGTGAGCAGAAAGGCTCTTTTGCTCTAAACCAATAAAAATAGTCCAATTCCCTTCCACAGGGACTGTTCTCGAGGTGGGCACAATACAGTCTGGCCAACGACAGGCAAAAGGTAGCCCACCTGGCAGCAGGTGTGTTCAGGGAAACACTTGTTGCTCCTGGGTCACTCCAGAAGAGGTGCCCTCTGTCATCCTTGGGACAATCCTAGGTCTGCACAGGATGGCTCAGAGTGCTGGCAGCCCACCCTGTGTTCCACTGCTGATAATAAGGCATCCAGAACTACCTCACCTCTGGGACTCTTATGGTAAGATATTTCCTCATTGTTTAGGCCAATTTTGGACAGTTTTGTTACTAGTAGGGCATCCTATCCAATTCATGTTATTACCTTTTCATTTATGGATAAGAACAATACAATCCAGACAGATTACGTGTCTTGCTCCCAAATGTTGCTAGTTTTTGGCAGACCCAATACAAAAGCATTCACATTAAAAGAAAAAGAAAAAGTAAAACTACCTTTCTCTTCATCATTTTCTCTGCTTAATTCCGTAAAAACAGGGACCTCCTTAGGGGGGGAAAAAAAGTGTGAAGGTTTGGTTCATGGTGCACTTACTACAATATTCAGTAGTACTAAGTTACAACTTGCTACATATGTTATAAAGCAGCTAAAGACACAATTTATGATTAAAATCCTAATTAAGAAATTATTTGTATTGCAATATTCCTCAATTGAGTTATTCTCTCTACCAAACTCAGGCCTACATTTTTATTACCCCCACTTTCATTTCCATTACAATTTAAGCAGGAAATAATAACATATAGCAATAAGCTTTAGGAATTTAGCTAGAGGATTACTTTAAAAAGCAAAACTTTTCTGTATTGTGGGATAATTTAGTGTAATGGTCAAGAGTCTAAGACTAACTCAAATAAAACTGCATATAAAATCCACCTCTGCAAACTATTAGCTTTCTCATCTTTGCCAATCTTATCATCTTCCTGAAGCCTCAATTATTCTATCTTTAAAATAGGGATAACAGACATATTTAGTTGTTAGAAGGGTTAAATAGGATAATATAAAAGAAACACTTAGCATAATGCCTGTCATAGTTTTTTTTAGGGTTGTTTCCACTGCTAAATAAAGATGTTCTTGAGATCAAGCTAAAATATTCTTTTCTTATGTAGTGTCCATAAAAGGTCTCATAAAGGCAGGCAAAAAAACTTTTTTAAAGTGATCTTATTTTTTAAAATTGACACATTCTACACTTACTGAGAAAGCCCTGACCAGTCATGTTTCCTGGGCCTTTTGGGGTAAAGATATTTATCCCTGGAAAGTACAAATCAACTTAGCAGTATTAAGCTAAAAATGTTACAAAACAATAATGCTATTCCAAAAAGCAAACAACTCTCTTCTGTAAATGTGAGGATGTGATCCTTAATTTCTACAAATAAGAAACTATAATTCTTCCTCTATTGAAAACAGAGACTTAAACTTTAAAAAGGTGAGAGAAACTCAAGAACAAAAAGCTTTCCATCTTAAGCAGGAGTTTAAGTTTCATACTTAGAGCAGCTGAACCATTGTTCCTGTTTTAATATAGAAAATTCCTAAAAGATTATGAGGATATGGATATTAAATTAAGTAATACCACAATACTTGCACACACAGACTCACTCATCAAGAAGGTCAATCAACATGGTATAAAAGCTAATTGATAAACTGATCCTTACTGACGTTTTAATTCTTATTACATGCTATTTATTTCCTGCATCACTCCATACTGAACAGCTTTTATAAGAACTATACAATAGTGACTGAGCAGCTGTTTTCATAATAGTCAAAAACTAAAGACACAGGTTTCTCAACAGGAGAAATAAATTGTGTGATATTTATAGAATGGAATACTACACATTGATTAAAAGAAAAAGTGAATCACCCATAGGAAAGAACACAGATGAACTACACCAACAGAACATGATGTCTGAGCTAAAGAAGTCAGTCACAAAGAGAACATGCTGTGTGACTGCACTCCTGCCAAGTTCAAACACAGACTAAACTGACCAATAAGCAAGCAACAGTGGTACAACACAACAGTGGCTCCATCTGGGGGGACAGGGGATACTGACTGGGATGCACATGAGCGAACTGGACACAGGAACTGTTCTCCATCTGGATCTGGGCAGTGGCTCTACACAGGCTCTCACCCTACCTATCTATCTTGTGACACACAGGTATGTACAAGTTCACTGAGCTGTAACCTGAGGTCAATGCACATCACGTACTTTACTACATATATGTTATACCACAATGAAGTTTTTAAAATACCAGATGGCGAGTGGTTTCACATGTAGATGCTAGGCTGCACTTTCCTACTCAACTTTTGTGATGCAAACTACAGAAGGCAGGGATTGTTTACCTTTTGCTCACGACTATATCCCCAGGCCTAGAAGACTGCCTGGGGACTCTTTGCTACCCAATAAATATTTGTTGAAATAAGCACCTTGGTTAGTTATTTTAATATCTGAACCTCCTTCACTATGCCCTCCTGCCCCCATTTACCTGGGTTTTGCCCATTAATTCTGCAAGACTCCTCAGTCCAGGGTTGTATCTACTTTCAGATACTCCATGTCCTCCCCAGGCTGGAGCAAGTGCTGACCTACTATGTTCCCACACATGGTGTTCACCTCCAGCACTGCATTAATTACCATCAATGGAAATGATGTGCCTGTCTTCCCCATTAGGTACTCCCTTTATTTCAGAGATCAGGAAACTGAAGTTTGGAAGGTTATTACTTATGCAAGATTGTGAGTCAGTAAGTCAGGATTTGAACTCAGGTTTGTTTCAACTCCAGAACTTGGGCTTTTACACTTGGCTATGCTCTTTCTCCTCTTAAAGAATGATACCCATAACACTCAATTCAACACTTAAAATTTAAGCAATTTTGCCCTTTGGAGCCCTTTTGCTGATACTGTTGCCCACCTGTTCCTTCCCTTCCAGACCTCTTCGCACTTGTTCTTCAATGAACTTGGCAGTTTTCTCTTCATCATCAAGGTCCTGCTTCTTCTTTTTCTCCAGTTCCAGCTGCCGGCGGATCGTTTCTGGGTCCCTATCGATATACTGAATATACCAGCCTTTGGGTGTCTCATCCACTTTGCACAAGCCTTCAAAAAAATGAGACACCACAAATTTATATACAATCAAAGATAAAAATAAACCTAAATATGTCCTATTGCTGCATTATTTACTCATTCAAATACACTCATTCACACACATTTAAATACACATATACAGCATATGTATTTTCCATATTGACAGTTAATGAGATTTAGGTATTATAAGTGGAGTATTTTATCTCCTAAAATTATTCTGATTTTTAACTAACTAGGTTAAGGCAACATACTTAAACAAGGGAAACACATGAAGGAAGTAATTCTTCAACTGTGGCTAAGTGTTTACCATCTAATGAGTACATGATATTCTGCTAACTTAACTAGAATGAAATAAAGTGACACACTAATAATATACATTGACATGAAATTTCTTTCTCTTTTCCCCTTCCAAACCTTTTCCTATGAAGATTAGGAATGGGAAGAGTAGCAGCAAATTTTTTAAAAACAGGCAATAAGAGCTTCCTAAAGTAAATGAATAAGGAGGTGAAAAGGAAGGATTGATGATAATCCTTAACCTAAATGAGAAGATGCTTCAGAGATAAATCTCTGCACTGTTTTAGCTCTGGGACAGGGGAGTTCCCGCTAGGCCGAGTTCCTGCCTGGGCCAATTTCCCAGTGAATTCCATGAGATCGAAGGCAGGCCAGGGCAAGAAGTTAGGAAATAAAGGGGTTTATTTTCATGGCTCAGCCTCTCCTCACTCGCACCAGCAGCTCTCTTCGGCACCACCTGGGACCCCATCTCAGATGGCTCCCAAGCTCTCACTCCCCAGCCACAGTCATGGCTCCTAACCCCACCTACCTGTCTCTCTCTTTCCATCCTGAGGCCCGCCTCCCGCATGGGGAGGAACTCTGTGGGTGGGGCCCCAGTGACTGGCAGGCACCTGACCAATTACATGCCAGGAATGGAGGGTTGGAGAGAATGGGTGTTTCCTCTCCACCCCTACCCTGGATTGGTAGTCCCTGTAAATGACCTGCAGCTCTGTCGCCAGTAAACATCCCATAAATGTGCAAACATGCTATTATATACACAATGGGCAATATTAAGTAAGGCCAGGCAGGAATCCTTGTCAAATTCTATTTTACCCACAATCCACCCCTCCAGGATTCTAGCCTCACAATCTATGGGTCCCCAATCTTCTGAAATGGCCTCTGTGCAAGAAAGCTGGAGCAACTGCAACCAGCCCCCACAACTGTCAAGAAAGCAAGTCAGATGTTCATACTCAACTATAATACATAAAATCAATCCTGGAAGATGATGCTCCTCTACACGAGTTTTTAATCGCTCTAGTCATCCTCTTTCTCCTTAACTTTACACAGAGACTATGACAATTCTCTGTTGCTGCAATGGAATCACAAAACAGGTATTCAAATGATGTCTTATTCTTACCTTCTCTGCCCAGCCACTTGGTAAAGTCAGTCAGAGTCTCCCACTGCGTGGCATTCATATGGATGTGCTCTCGGTGGCTGATATACTCATTGTAAACAATGTTGTTGTGAACTCTCTTAGTGCCTAAGAACAAAATATGACACTGTTGATCTGGAGAAGGTTATAAGACTATGAAATTATTACATGCACAAAACTTAAGAAGCTTACCAAAGCGTCTCCTAAGAAGTTCTAGAAAGTCATTTCGAAATTCTCTAATAAAGAAAGGATGGAGAGCATCAGGGTTACTTCTACAAATATAGAGCATCATCTTCCTGAAATTCAAGCCATCATGTCATACAGTTTAAATGCCCAAATGATATATAAAACATCTATATGGATATCTGTTATGAACCTTTAAAAGCTGAATAAAGAAAGAATCCCCAAAGATTATAGCTTTCAAGAATTAAAGTTAAGTCAATTGGGAGTTGAAACATTTTGTCTTGGCAAAACAGCCATAGCAGAAATGACTAAACATGTTTGGAGAGGGTCCTTCAGAGTCTATTAGTACTGCTGACTGTGGCATAATAACCCAATTCTATCCATGACAACAAAACTGCCCTTATTCCACATGAAACTGAGGCTTACTGTGTCCCTCTGAACTGAGTACACTATGCTAAGTGCTAGATAAACACAGCGGAACAAAACATAAATCTTAACCTAGTTTACAATCACAACAGAAGTCAAACTGAAAAAGAGATGGAACAAAGTATCACAGAAAGAGTTGAGGGAGATGCCCAGACACAACCTCTGGTATGGGCCGTGAAGTATGATAGGGCTTTTACAGGTAAAGCGAGAAACAAGGCCATTCCCAGCTAACCCAGAGACATCAAAGCATCACAGGTTTGAAAAATGACAATCTAATTTGGCTAACGCTGAGAGCACACAGAAATGAGAGTGAGGCTGGAGACCTCCTTTGGGTAAGCAGACAGGACTGAATAACAGGCGAAGTAGTAGCTGAAATGTAGCCTTAGGGTTAATTTTTGAAGTATGTTGAATGTCACGCTAGAGACTGAGTTTTATGCAAGCAATAAAAAAAGCACATAATACTTATACAGGAAATAATTTTGTGAAAATCTGTGATTTAGAGAGGAAATCCTGTGGAGAGCACAGAACAGTAATTCTGCAAGCATGGGCCCCAGACTGGCAGCATGGACACCACCTGTGATTTGTGCAAAGTCTCCAGCCCACCCCCGATCTACTGAATCAGGACCTGCCATTCTGTTTTCACAAGGCTTTAAGGTGATTTTTGATGCAGGCAGTGGCTTGTGAACCACAGGCATAAACATGCTGAGGAGGAGCAGAAGCTGCAAGTTAGGAGAACAGGGAGGAAGTCACTGAATTAAATTAGATGGGAGTTGGTGAGAACTATTCCTAGGCATGAGAATGGATAGGACAGAGGGTGAAAGGACATTGTACAGGAGAATCAACAAGAGGGAATTCCAAGAGGACTGTGAGGTTTACCTCAGCAGGGTGGGCAGGGAGTTATTGACCAGTACAAGGATCAAGCAGATGTGGTGGAGAGAATACTGAGGCCAGCTTTAAAATGTTGACTTTAATCTGGCCTTTAAAATGTAGATTAGAATTGTCCAGAGGAAAAAATCTACAACTGAAGACAGATGTTAGGAATGAACAGCCAGAATTAGGAGTCCACCAAACACAAGGATAACAGAAGAATAATGTAACTCGTGGAGACCATGGAGAACAGGATGAGAAGAAGCCAAGCAACTCCTTGAAGAACTTTCTATATTTGGGGAGCTGGGACAGGAAGGGGAGTTAATGAAGAAAATCAGCACAGAAGGTATAGTAGGTAAACCAGGAAAGAATGTAAAACAGAGGTGTTTCAGTGGGGAGTTGAGAGCATTAGCCACAGAGGGGAGATCAAGGAAGAGGATGGTGTTAAAAGGTGTGAAGTGGGCCAGATTGGATTAAAGATAGCAGCATGAGAAGTGAGACAGAAACCTCCTCCAGAAACCACATATAATATGAAAATATAGAAAATACATCTAATCCTGAAAGAGCAACAGGAAAGAAGGCTGCAGAAGACTGCCTACACCTCAAGAAAACAGCAGACCTCAAGTAAAGGGGTAAAGTACCAAAGCTGTGATCCAGAGAGACCCAAGGCCTGCTCCNGGAATACTTGGAGAGACCAAGATTCCAGCCACTTGTGGAAAACATGTATCCACAACTGGCTGCTCTGGGACAAAACAAAGGCAGGCAGTCTAAGAGACTTCCTAACAGCAAGTGGGTTGCTAAAGGGGAAAGGATTGCATACCTTGGTGCTCAGGAGAGAGGACAGGTGGACAGAATTGTCTGGGCGCACTCTGCCCAGCAGGTTGGGAACTTTCAGGAGCTTCAGGGGTTCCATCCACCTGGGTGGCCATGCAGCTACGAGACTCCCCCCACCCCCACTGTAATACACAGCCTGCTGTGCCTTCCTCAGGGCCGGCAAACAGCTGGCAAACTGGCTGACCCCGCCATTGCTCCAGGTGAGCCAGAGGGTGGTCCTGCCTATGGCAGCTAGAAGTGCAAAGCAGAAAAGAAGCCTTCACGCTTGGCCCACTGGCCCTGACAGTGGAGGGAGGCACTGCAGCCAGGAAGCAGGAAAGAGCTCTTTCCTTCCAACAGGCACCAGTGCTGCTTGCCTGTGACCCCTGCCATTGCTCCAGGGATGGAGCAGCTCAGAGTGTAGAGCTTCTAGGCACTAGAGGGTGCCACCTAAAAATACGAAATGTCAAAGGAACCTGGTTCAAACCAAAATCCCACAAACATCAGAAAGATGACCAAGTGAAATTGAACTCATCAATTCTCAAAATAAAAATCATAAACATGCTCACAGAGCTACAGAAAAATATTCAAGAACTCAGGGAGAAATTCAGGAATGAGAGACAAACATTGAAGAATTCAGTATCTGAAATGAAACATACAATGGAAGTATTTAAAAGCATATTAGATGAAGTAGAGGAACAGTAAATCAAACAGAAGTTAGAGAATAGGTATACAAAGAAGCTGAGGCACAGAGAGAAAAAAGAATCTCCAGGAATGAAATAATATTGAGAGAACTGTGTGACCAATCCAAACGGAACAATATTCACATTATAGGGGTACTAGGAGAAGAAGAGAGAGAAAAAGGAATAGAAAATGTCTTTGAGGAGGTAACTGCTGAGAACTTCCCTATATGGGGAAGGAGATAGTCTCTCAGGCCATGGAGGTACACAGATCTTCCAACACAAGGGACCCAAGGAAGACAACACCAAGACATACAATAATTAAAATGGCAAAGATCAAGGACAAGACAGAGTATTAAAAGCAGCTAGAGAGAGAAAAAAGATCACACCAAAGGAAAATCCATCAGGAAAATATCATCACACTTCTCAACAGAAACCTTACAGACCAGAAGGGAGTGGCATGATATATTTAATGCAATGAAGCAGAAGGGCATCAAACCAAAAATACTCTACCCAGGAAAATTATCATTTAAATTTGAAGGAGAGATTAAACAATTTCCAGATAAGCAAAAGTTGAGAGAACTTACCTCCCACAAACCATCTCTACAGTGTTATTTTGGAGGGACTGCTATAGATGGAAGTGTTCCTAAAGCTAACTAGCGGTCACCAGAGGAAATAAAACCATGGTAAAGAAAACAGACCAATTAATTACTAAGCAGATGCAGAATCAAATCAACTAACCCAAAAGTCAGTGAAGGGATAGACAAAGAGTACACAATATGATACATCATAGATAAAGAATAGAGAAGGAAGAAAAAGGAGGAAGACAGAAAAATGAACCTTTAGATTGTAATAGCATACTGAATTAAGTTAGACTGTTAGATAGGAAAGAAGCTGCCCTTGAACCTTTGGTAACCATGAATCTAAAGCCTGCAATGTCAATAAGTACATACCAATCGATAATCACCCTAAATGTAAATGGTCTGAATGTATCAATCAAAAGACATGGAGTCACTGAATGGATAAAAAAACAAGACCCATTTATATGCTGCCTACAAGAGACTCACTTCAAAACCCAAAGAAATAAACAGACTGAAAGTAAAGGGATGGAAAAGATATTTATGCAACTAAAAGGGAGAAAAAAGCAGGAGTTGCAGTACTTGTATAGACTTCAAAACAAAGAAAGTCACAAGAGACAAAGAAGGACATTACATAATGATAAATGGGTCACTCCAACAAGAGGATAAAACCATTATAAATATCTATGCTCCCAACATAGGAGCACCTACATATGTGAAGCAAATACAGAATTAAAGGGGGAAATAGAATGCAATGCATTCGTTTTAGGAGACTTCAACACACCACACACTCCAAGGAAAGATCAACCAGACAGAAAATAAATAAGGACACAGAGGCACTGAACAACACACAGAACAGATGGACCTAACAACCATCTACAGAACACTCCATTCAAAAGCAGCAGGATACACATTCTTCTCAAGTGTACATGGAACATTTTCAAAAATAGATCATATACTAGGTCACAAAAAGAGCCTTACTAAATTCAAAAAGATGGAAATTGTACCAACCAGCTTCTCAGATCACAAAGGTATGAAACTAGAAATAAATTATGCAAAGAAAACAAAAGAGCCACCACCAAACACATGGAGGCTTAACAACAGTTTCCTAAATAATCAATGGATCAATGACCAAATAAATACAGAGATCAAGCAATATATGGAGACAAATGACAATAATAACTCAAAAACGCAAAATCTGTGGGATGCAGCGAAGGCCATGCTCAGAGGAAAGTATATTGCAACACAGGCTTATCTCAGGAAAGAACAACAATCCCATATGAACAGTCTAAACTCACAATTAACGAAACTAGAAAAAGAAAAACAAATGCAGCCCAAATTCAGTAGGAGGGAGATAATAAAGATTAGAGCAGAAATAAATAAAATTGAGAAGAATAAAACAATAGAATCAATGAAAGCACAAACTGGTCCTTCGAGAAAATAAACAAAATAGATAAACCCTTAGCCAGACTTAATCGAGAAAAAAAGAGAGTCTACACACATAAATAGAATCAGAAATGAGAAAGGAAAAATTACTACAGACACCACAGAAATACAAAGAATTATGAGAGAATACTATGAAAAATTATATGCTAACAAACTGGATAACCTAGAAGAAATGGAAAACTTTCTAGGAAAATGAAACCTTCCAAGACTGACCCAGGAAGAAACAGAAAATCTGAACAGTCCAATTACCAGCAACGAAATTGAATTGGTAATAAAAAAAACTACCTAAGAAGAAAATGCCTAGACCAGATGGCTTCACCAGGGTATTTTATCAAACATTTAGTGAAAACCTAATACACATCCTCCTTAAAGTAGAAGAGGAGGGAATACTTCCAAACTCATTCTATGAGGCCAGCATCACTCTAATACCAACACCAAAGACACCACAAAAAAGAAAATTAGATCAATATCCCTGATGAACATAGATGTGAAAATACTCAACAATGTATTAGCAAATCGAATTAAAAAATACATCAAAAAGATCATCCATCATGATCAAGGATTTTTTTCCAGGTTGCAAAGATGGTACAGTATTCGAAAATCCATCAACATCATCCACATCAACAAAAAGGACAAAAAGCACATGATTATCTCAACAGATTCTGAAAAAACATTTGACAAAATTCAACATCCATTCATGATAAAAACTCTCAACAAAGTGGGTACAGAGGGCAAGTACCTCAACGTAATAAAGGTCACAATGACAAACCTACAGCCAACATCATACTTAACAGCGAGAAGCTGAAAGCTTTTCCTCTAAGATCAGGAACAAGACAAAGATGCCCAATCTCCCCACTTTTATTCAACATAGTTCTGGAGGTCCTAGCCACGGCAACCAGAAAACACAAAGAAATAAAAGGCATCCAGATTGGTAAGGAAGAAGTTAAACTGTCCCTGTTTGCAGATGACATGATACTGTACATAAAAAAACCTAAAGAATCCACTCCAAAACTAATAGAATAACTGAATTCAGAAAAGTTGCAGGATACAAAATACACAGAAATCTGTTGCATTCCTATATACTAATGATGAACTAGCAGAGAAGGACATTAGAAAAAAAATTCCATTCACAATTGCATCAAAAAGAATAAAATACCTAGGAATAAACCCAACCAAGGAAGTGAAAGGTCTATACCCTGAAAACTACAAGATACCCATGAGAGAAATTAAAGTAGATACCAAAAATGGAAATACATTCAGTGCTCATGGATAGGAAGAATTAATACTGTCAAAATGGCTATTCTGCCTAAAGCAACCTACAGATTCAATGCAATCCCTATCAAAATACCAACAGCATTCTTCAATGAACTAGAGCAAATCCTTCTAAAATTCATATGGAACGACAAAAGACCCCGAATAGCCAAAGCAATCCTGAGAAGGAAGAATAAAGCTGGGGGGATTACACTCCCCAACTTCAAGCTCTACTACAAAGCCACAGTAATCAAGACAATTTGTTACTGGCACAAAAACAGACCCATAGACCAATGGAACAGACTAGAGAGTTCAGCTATAAACCAAAGCATATATGGTCAACTAATAGATGATAAAGGAGCCAAGTACATACAATGGGGAAATGACAGCCTCTTCCCCAGTTGGTGTTGGCAAAACTGGACAGCTACATGCAAGAGAATGAAACTGGATTACTGTCTAACTCCATACACAAAAGTAAACTCAAAATGTATCAAAGACCTGAATGTAAGTTATAAAACCATAAAACTCTTAGAAGAAAACAAAGGCAAAAATCTCTTGAATAAAACATGAGCAACTTTTTCCTGAATATATCTCCTCAAGCAAGGGAAGGAAAATAAAAAATGAACATCAAACTAAAAAGCTTCTGTACAGCAAAGGACACCATCAGTAGAACAAAAAGGCATCCTACCGTATGGGAGAATATATTTGTAAATTACATATCCAACAGGGGTTAACATCAAAGAATTCACACGCTTCAACATCCAAAAAGCAATTAAACCTATTAAAAATGGTTGGAGGATCTGAACAGACACTTCTCTAAAGAAGAAAGTCAGATGGCCAATAGGCACACGAAAAGATGCTACACAACCCTAATTATCAGGGAAATGCAAATTAAAACCACAATGAGATATCACCTCACATCAGTTAGGATAGCCAACACTGAAAAGACTAGAAACAACAAATGCTGGCAAGGATTCAGAGAAAGGAGAACCCTCCTACACTGCTGGTGGGAATGTAAATTAGTTCAACCATTATGGAAAGCAATATGGAGGTTCCTCAAAAACAAACAGAAATACTATTTGACCCAGGAATTCCACTCCTAGGAATTTACCCAAAGAAAACAAGATCCCTGGTTCAAAAAGACATATGTACCCCTATGTTTATTACAGCACTATTTACAATAGCCAAGAAATGGAAGCAACCTAAGTGTCCACCAGTAGATAAATGGATAAAGAAGATGTGGTACATATACACAATGGAATATTATTAAGCCATGAGAAGAAAACAAATCCTACCATTCACAACAACATGGATGGAGCTAGAGGGTATTATGCTCAGTGAAACAAGTCACACAAAGAAAGACAAGTGCCAAATGATTTCACTCATCTGTGGAGCATAAGAACAAAGGAAAAACTGAAGGAACAAAACAGCAATAGATTCACAGAACCCAAGAATGAACTAACAGTTACCAAAGGGAAAGGGACTGTGGAGGATGGGTGGGAAGGGAGGGAGAAGGGGAATAAGGGGGGCATTACAATTAGCACACATAATGTAGGGGGCAGGCACGGGGAAGGCAGTATAGCACAGAGAAGACAAGTAGTGACCCTTTAAGCATCTTACTACATTGATGGACAATGACTGTAATGGAATATGTGGTGGGGACTTGATGATGGGGGGAGTCTAGTAACTACCATATTGCTCATGTGATTGTGTATTAATGATACCAAAAAAAAAAAAACTACCATGCCATTGTGTTTTGATGTAGGAGCAAAGAAGAGTAGTATCTAAAATTATCTGAGAAGGCTATTAAAATACTTGCCCCTTCCAACTACACATCAATGTAAGGACCAGACTTTAAGTACTTGAACCAAAACAACATTTTGAAACCAAATAGACACAGAAGCAGTTGTGAGAATGCCACTGTCTTCTATTAAGTCCGACACTGAAGAGTTCTGCAAAAATGTGAAGCAATGCCCTCTTATTTTTTTTGTTTTGGAAAATACAGCTATTTTTCTTTTAAAAATACATTTATTTTAACATGCAATAGGTTTATTATTGTTATTTTAAATATATTAAGAAACAAGTTTTAAAAACATTTCTCAGTTTTAATCCCTAATTTGCAAGCCTCAATAGATAAAATGCACATAAACAAAGGCTTGTAGGGTCCTTCAATAATTTTTAAGAATGTACTAGAGTCCTAAGACCAAAAGGTTAGAACTTTGGAAAGAGATAGATAGGAGCAAGACTAATTATTAATAGTAATAATAATTAACAGCTAATATTAACTGACTACTGGGCACTCTTCTGAAAACTTTAAAAGTATGAAGTCAGTTAATCTTCACATAAACCCTATGAAGGAAAGATAATACTTGGAAGAGGGTACTGTTTTTAGTCCCATATTACAGAGGAGACTAAACTACAGACATAGGGGGTTCACCCAAAGCTACACAGCACATGAGTGGGGAAGCCTGGACCCACAGGATTTAAAGTCAGGCAGTCTGACTCCAGAGCTGTGCTCCTGGCGACCATTTAGAGGTGGTTCTGTATTTGTGAGAAACACTTTTGCAACAACTTCATGCTATGATAAACTGTCAAAGAAAGTAAAACCTGAGCACAAAGATAATACAGCTATCATGTTACCATGAAGGCATAAACAGAGCCTCTAATACATAAAATACTAAGCATCTATTCAACATTAAGCTAAGCTTATGAGATAAGAATGTCTTAAAGTTACTTACTCTGAAAAATAATCCATAAACTGCTGAGGATTTTCTGAAGCCAGCAACAGTTGTCTCTGATGAGATTCGGACATACAATGACACTTAAAGCCATTCTACAAAAGTGTAAATGTAGTAGTTAAATTCAGATTTAGGTCATCATAATGGAACCTAAGAAGAACTATTTAATTAACCTTAAAAAGCTGTTCTTTGATGATAAACTGTAAAAAATAATCAAATCAGTAGCTCTAAATATTGTATCTTAAAAAAAATTTTTTTCTTTATGATGTTGAGTGTTGCAACCCTGTTAATCAAAGAACAATCGCAGAAGATTAAAGAGACAGAAAAATAGTCCTTTGGAAAACAGACATTAGTAGGAAACATTAAGGGGCCCAGTAATAGAGGAGGGATTTCATTTTTTAAAATCAATTTAACAAATTCCTACTGACCCCTACTTCATACAGTGCTATTCAAGTGCCTCAGTGAATACATTGAAATAAAATGGGTTAGTAGTGAATTTCCTCTGTGGGAATTTTTTTCACTCACTTCATACATTTAATCTTCATATAAACCCTATGAAGGAAAGACAATTTTAGCTCATGCAAAACATTGTTGCAGATACATAAACCTTATATTAAACAGACTAAGTCTGTTTCTTCTTCAGATAACTGCAGAAAACATCTAAGTTTTGACTCTGTATTTCTATTCTACTTAACATTAGAACTTGACCCTTCACTAGCAATAGAAATGAAAACATGTCTCCCTTCCCATATTCCGTCTCAGTAAACCCAAGCCAGTACTGAGGATGACATCCCAGGGTCCTCCTCCACCTCTACATCCTACTTATCACTAAGCCTACTCAGCCTCCTTAGTAACTCTTGGCCAGCCCTCCTGCTCAATCCCTTGGCCACCCCCAATTTCATATTCAGTCTTGCTTAGTTTCCTAATCTGTAGTCATCCACAGACCATGGACGCAGCTCTTGCCTCATTGGTGCACAACCTGTAACTCTTACTTATATGTACCTTAAAAAGAAACCTGGTATCGGTCTTATAAATGAAATGACCACTTTCTAAATATTAAAAATAAATCAAGAAAGTGAATAATGTTATTAAATTCTAGAAACCCAGGGTAGTGTATGGGCACAAAGGGAATACTCTGGATCTGACCTTCCTTCCCCCATCTTCCAACACTGAGAGAGAACACAGGACAGGACGTTATGGGGAGCAACTTCTCCTCCCACAGACGGCCCTCCCCAGTAGGGAAGGGCCATGAACACATCTGAGGGCAAACAGGCCAGAACCATCATGAAGGTCTTACTCTGAAATTAAAGGAAAGAACAAAGCATTTACCTGCCCTTTCCCGCATGAACTATATTTTAGGATGACATTTGGGGATAACCAAATAGACCTAGGTAATGAGAGAAAACTCATTCTTACAAAAGACTTGCAGTTAATAATGTAGAAAGAATTAGAAAAATAACCACTTTCAAGTCCTAATGAAATAACAGACTTGAGCAAGGATGCTAAAACACACAGGTAAAAGGTTGACGGGAAACTAGGTATGTGGGCATTATTCCATGCCCCCCTCTTACTTCCTCACTAGCTATTTGCTCTTGCAAGAGGGAAAATATTACTTTCTGACATTACTGTACAGGCTGTCATCTTTACTCAATTATTTTAGCCCTGCCAGACATTATGGGCTTCCTTATGTTATGCACTATGACATATACAGGGTCAACTATCAAACATTCTTCCCCAAAATATTTAACCTGATCCTAATAAAGCTTTCAGATCTAAGTTCCAGTTTACAGAAACTACAAGAGTTAGAGGAAGGAGGCAAAAGATAACCTCAAGGACACTCACTTGGTTCATTTCTGGAAGGTAGGAATGCTCCAGGATAACTACTAGCCTAGTCACTTCAAATCAAATTCCAGAAAAACAATTGGGGATTGCGATGGGGTTGTTCTATTTTCCATTTAGAATTGGGAAGGAATTAAATAACCTAGACCACAGAGACTTTTAGACAATGGAACTATTCTGTATGATACTATAATGATGGATATGTGTCATTGTAGATTTGTTGAAACCCAAGAACATCCAACACTAAGAGTGACCCTAATGTCAATTATGGACTCCAGTGATAATGGTGTGACACTGTAGCTTTATTCACTGTAAAAAAAGTTCCACTCTGTTGCAAAAAGTTGATAGTTGGGGAGGCTAGATATATATAGGGGAAGAGTATTGTGGGAAATCTGTGTACCTTCAGCTCACTTTTTTTTGTTTGTTTGTTTTACTGAGGTACATACAATAAAATGCACAAATCTTAGTGTGCAGGTCCATGTATTTTGACACGTGTATACATTCATGTGGCCATCACCCAGATCAGGTGTCAAACATTCTCACTAATTTTTCCCTTTTACCTGTTTTGTCCATCCCCCCTCATGGCAACCACCAGTCTGTTCTCTGTGTCTGAGTCTGTTTCAGTTTGTTTTTGTTTTTTTTAGATTCCATATATAAGTTAAATCATAAGGTATTTGTCTTCCTTTAGGTCCATCCATGTTGTTGCAAATGGCAATATTTCCTTTTTTATGACTTAGTAATATTTCACAGTGTATATGTACCACCTCTTCTTTATCTATGTATTGGTGGACACTCTGGTTGCCTCCATATCTTGGCTATTATAAATAATGCTGCAATAAACATAGGGGTGTATAATCCTTTCGAATTAGGATTTTGTTTTCTTCAGGGAAATTCGCAGAAGTGGAATTACTGGGTCCAGTGGTATTTATATTTTTAGTTTTTTGAGGAACTCCTTCCTGCTTTCCACAGTGGCTGTACCAATCTACATTCCCACCAGCAATCTAACAGGATTCCCATTTCTCCACATCCTTGCCAGCATTTGTTATTTTCTGCCTTTGGGATAGTGACCTTCAGCTCACTTTTGCTGTGAAACTAAAACTACTTTTAAAAAGTCCTAGTTACCAGGTCCAATTCATAGCTTTTGACTGGAAAACCTGTTTTAAAAAGCACTAGTGGGAGCAACCGAGGAAATGTGAATATGGAGTGTGTGTCCGATAATTACAGGAATGTTTATTAATTTTGTTATGACATATTGTTGCTATGTGAGAAACTATCTTAGTATTTTAGAGATGCATATTTAAGTATTTAGGGGTGAAATATCTTGATATTTGAGATTTACTTTTAAATATTTCAAAAAATATGGCAAAATACATAAAATGTTCAACCCAAGTAATAGATATATGAATGTTCATTGTACTAGTCTCTAATTTTCTGTGGGAATTTCACTTGACTGTTAAATAAAAAGAATAAAGAGACAGGAAAGCGAATAATTGTATCTATGTCATTCAATGTAAGTCCCACTTAAATCTCTCTCACTTGCAGAACACTAGGTTAGAATATTCCAATTGCCAATGTTCTTCAGGCCCTACCCATGCAGAGAAAAATATGTTCCCGACACTAGCCTGCTCTCACTTCAAGGTGCTTCATCATTCACCTTCCTAATGGGAAAAAGTGTAAACTCCGTAACAGCAGACAAAGCTTTTCAAGATCTGCCCAAAGACCGCCCTGAGCCACTTTACACATAATTCACTCATCTGAAACGCACACCAATCTGACCAGAAGGTAGAAGTACTCTTCCCACTTAGAAAAGTAAACTGGCAGAGAGAATGGAAGTTAATTTGCCCAAGACCACACAGCCAGTAAGCGGCGTCACTGGGCTTTCTGACAGTCTTACTCCAGGGTCGTCTTAACCACAGTAGCATTCTGGCCCTGGCACATTGTAGGTGATCAATAAATGCTTGCTAGGTGAGTACTCTACAAGAGCTTGGCTCTCCTTTTTCATCATATCCTGAAAAGGGGTGTGGATCCTATTATCCTGTTTCTCTTAAGAATCACATCGAGTCAGAGCTTACTGTTATTGTTACTCCCCAGGTGTCCGGCACTAACCTATTCATGCTCCGGTTTTAGGACAGCTTGAGTAGGATCACTTCTACGAGACCTGCAAAACCTTTCATTTCACTTCGTTCTGGGGAAGACTGGGTGTCAAAAGACCACGGGTTTCCCTAGGAAGAGGCCGCAAGGAAGGGTGGCCCTACGGAGTTGGGTCGCCGACTCGCTTAGCGCAAACCAACCAGCGTCCCGAGAGCCGCCCTTGTGCCGAACCTGAGCCTGGGACTCGGCGCGGCCCCGCCAGGAAAGAGGGCGTGGCCCAGGCATCGGGTCACCCGGGCCCGCTTACCTCGTCCCGGCACTGCTTCTGGCACATCTGGCAATACCAGCGCAGTTTCTGAAGACCCTTGGATTTGATCCTGTTGGCGATGGCCTTAGGGGTAAGGAAATCTGACTTTCCCATCGCGAACACAGCACAGACACTGCCTGGAACGCGGGGCCCTGGCAACCGGAAGCGGAACTGGCTGGCCGGGGTGGGAGGGGCAAATAACAACCTCTAGCCAGACGGAGGTGGGGCCCCGGAAGGGCCCCAAAGCTCGCGATGCTTTCCGCCGTGTGGCGGGAGGAAGCGAGACTGCAGGAGAAAACCAGGTGGGAAGGAAGTTGGGGAGCTCCCGCGCAGGCGCTGTGAAGTCTGTCTGACCGACCTTCAAACCAGGCTGGGGCCGCCATGTTCCCTCGGGCGGGTGCAGCTGGGCTCTCAGCTTGCGCGGTGCAGCCGCAATGGTATGGCACCTGGCGTTGCGAGCGGGAGGGCTGTGAGGGGTGGGAGGCGCGGTGGGAAGGGCAGCGGGCTCAGGCTAGTGGGACGGGGCAGAGGTCGCAGGGTAGGCCGGGCACTCGTCCCGCTTGGGCCCCGGGCTCAGGCGGCGCCCCCGACCCGGGAGGGCGCGCCGCGGGCAGTAGAGACCACAGGGTCTTGTCACGTCTGCCGGGCGGGATGGGCCGGGCGAGTGCCTCGAGCAGTGGTCATCTCAGACTTACGGATCGAGGCCGTAGTTCAAACGATTGTCTGGCAGCCTAGATTCATTCACTCATCTGATAAATACTTGCGGGGCACCGGGGGTCGTGGAGTCTACCCGGCCCACAGAGGGAGGAGGCGGGGAGGACCCAAAGCAAGGTCTAGGGGAACGTTAAGTTGTACTTTGTGTCCTTGACGGCTTGCAAACCTTCGCGTGTTAGGCCTTCTGCGCGACCAGTGTAGAGAGAGAGCAGCAACCCTTCAAGAGCTGCCGGATTCAGCCGGAACGTGCAAGAAGCACCTGTCCAGTGGCAGGCGCTTTGCTGGGCACTAATGAATAAGATATGTACTCTCCTGTGCTGACGGTATTTGTGTGGAAGGGGATCTTAAAAATCTCTCTGCTGACGAGGAAGGGAAAGACGCTTAGCACTATCTTGAAGCAGTAAGCCTGCAAGGTCATGAAATTGTCCCAGGGTCCGGAGGTGGAGGAAATACGTGGACATTTAAGTGCCATCTGTTAACTGCTGTGCACGTTTTAAGGATTTTAAGCATCGGTTCCCCCCAAAAATTGTATATTAGAAAGCCAGGAGTAGGCAAATAAACGTTGGTTTGTGGCTGGTGCCATGTAATAGGATGAAATATCTTAAAGCTAGACCAGTTTGCAAGAATTTCAGGCGCAGTGCAAAGGGGGTTATTAGCTATAGGCTGTGTGTAGCAATTTCGGGTTTTACAGTAACGGAGAATTCTAAGGAGCTACAGCACTAGATTTTTGTATCCTAATCTACATGAAGGGACTATCAAGCACTAATTGAAATGGGTACTTTTTTCGCTAAGCAAAGAGTTCATAACAATAGACAAGATAATTAAGGGTGGTGAGGTTGTTAAATCTGATGGGAAATAACTACATAAAATGTTGGTGGATTTGTCTTGGAAGTCAGTTTGGTTTTTTGTTTGTTTTTTCCCTAATACTGTAAAAGTATTGGTGGGAATAAAGGAGTCACCGTAGTTGAGTTCTCAGACATTTGTCCCATTTGTTAGTCACTCAGCACACTTTTGTTGGGTGCCTGCCCTTCATCAAGTTGGTACTGTGAAAGTGTTAATGGTGGTGGTGAACAAATGGACATGGGCTTAGTGACCTTCCTGGGGCAGTCCTGGCCTGCGGTGGCGCTTAGCGCACAGCAGCCCTTCCTTGCTTCCTTCCCAGCTTGCTGTGCATTAGTGTTAACCCGTCAATGCTTTTACCTTAAGTAGTAGTCAAGTTGATTTTTTAAAAATGGAGGAATTTCTGAAACAAGGACAAAGTACTTTACGTATAATTGTAGAAATAACTTTATTTAAACCCTGTAAGACAATTTGAAGATCTTTTAATAAAGAATTGCTTTAAATAGAAGCTCTCTGGTCTGAGACAGGAACCTAAATAGGCAAAGGTCTTAAGTCGTGACCTCAATCCCTTTGGAATGTTGGTTTTAAATCGGCAGGTTATGAATATTCATCAGTCATCGGGTGGCACTGTGTAAAGCATTTTCACAGATTACATCCCTCTGGGTGCCTGCTCTTTTGCTTCCCACTCATTGTAATTGCCTTTTAAATTCAGAAGTGTAAACCACCTTGATGTTTCACAATACATGGAATTAATTTAGAAGGGGAGAAAAATACCTTCGCCTTTACAGAACCATGAAGGGGCACTTCCTCCTTTCTGTTTTGGTTATTGAAAGCTTTTAAAAGTGCAATTTGTAATTGTACAGTTTCTGTTTCAGGGAGATTAGTATACTAACATTAACCAAGTATTAGGCTTATTTAAAATCTTAGTGAAATTATCTTAATTGTTGTTTAGGGTATCAGTAAAATACCCTAAATGTTTAGAAATTGAAAGTGTTTTTTAAAAAGTAGCATTTAAGAAAATAGAAATAAGAAATTTGGGAAAAGAGTCTGTGGCTTTTTTTGTTAAATTAAGGGAAAATACATTTCTGTGTCCTAGTGTTCCACATTATCTAAAATGGAACTGTTTTAGAATAGTGTACCGATAGCTATAAATTGAACTATAAACACTAGAAAGGAAGAGAGATGGCATTTCAGGAGAGGAAAGGCAGATTGTATTCTGAGACTAAGGTAGCAGATGGGAGGCATTAGGGTGTAGTATAGGACATGGACTCAGGAACCCACTGTTGAGATGTGAATCCTGACTGCCATTCACCTGGCCGTGTGACCTTGGGCAAGTTACTCAGTGTCTGTGTGCCACCATTTCCTCATCTGTTAAATCGGGGTAAGAATAGTATACCCAATTCACTGGGTTTAGTGTAAAGAGCAAATGAGTCAGTATTTGTAAAGAACCGAGAGCAGTGGGAGAAATGTTGGTGTGGAACCAGATACATAAGTTGGAAAATGAAAATGACTTCATAAATATACTTTCTGCATTAAATGTAAGGTTTATGGTACTTGGCAAAGAAGATTGGATCATGGGTGGTGGTTGGTGAAAGAAGTGCCAGGGAGTCTTTTTTGGTGGAGAGGCAGTGATGGACTTTCACATAGGCATTTATTATTAGAATTAGACAAACTTTATGATTTTTTTCCTTAAGAATTAGCTGAAGTTGCTTTTCCCTCAATTTTTATATTATACACCATTATACACTCCTTAAAATTCTTCGAACTCTGAAATTTCTTTAAATGATGAATCATTCCCCCAAGCAACCTCACTGACTCCCTCCTCTAGTGCTTTCAGGTTTTTTAACAGTGCTACATGATCATAGTAGATAATAGTAACCGACTATCTAATTTTCCACCCACTGTATTTGATAGTTTCAAATTTCTACAGTAATCTCCTGAGGATTTCTCAGGACATGATACAGTTTTCCATAACATACAACTGATTCAGAATTTTCTTTTATCTTTTCATTTGCAAAAATTATATGTTCATTTCAGCAGGCTATCACTAAAGAGAGCTGGGATCAGCTCATGGTTATTCTGTACTCAGATTGTACTTTAAAGTTGTGACATGGGTTGACATCTTTAGAACTAAATGAAGGCTAAACATCAGAGCGCATCAAAATGGGAAATTAGGGCATATGCCCAACATAAAGAATCGCAAAAGGTCCTATGTTTTCACACCTCTCCCGGGGGATACTTATGGAAACTAAAATACTGGGTTCATCCAGGTATGGCATGCAGTTCAAATTTATTACATATAATACTCTCTGACTAGAAATTTTTATCAATTAAGTTGAGTGTCTGCCTAAAGCTATAATGTCCCAATGTCACTCTTTATAGTCTATAATTGAGAATGTTTGGGGTGGAAAAGTAATTATAGGAAAAAAATAAAATAAAATTGTCCAAAAAACAGTGTTACTTTTCAAGTGCCATTTTGAAAAGACGTCAGTGGAACAATCATTATTTTAGAAGAGTCTGTACTCTTAAACAGCAGAGCCTGTCAGCATTTGCCAGCTTTCACCTTTTCCTTTACTAAGTCCCTTCTTACAAGCAAACCTAGTATTTTCCTCCTCTAAAATTTCTAATTACTCTAATAATTTCGTGATATTTGTAAGAAACTGTCAAACCACATTCCAAAGTAGTCATGTCATTTTGCATTCCCACCAATAATCAATGAGAGTTTCTATGTTCCACATCCTCACCATCTAGTATTAGTTTTTAAATAACCATTCTTACATGTATATGGTTGTATCTCATTGCTTTAATGTGCAGTTCCCTAATGACACAGAGCATCTTTTAATCTGCTTATTTGCCATCGGTTTATCTTTGGTGAGGTATGTGTTTGTATCTTTTGCACATTTTTTTAAACAATAATAAAACATTTTTTATTTGGGTTGCTTATTGTTGAGTTTTACTAGTTCTTTGTGTATTTTGGATAATGCTCTTTATCAGATTTGTGTTGTGCAAATATTTTCTAGTATGTGGCTTGTCTTTTCATTCTTTTAACAGTATTGTTGGAGAGCAGAAGTTTTTAAAATTGATAAAGTCCAGTTTATCAATTTTTTTCTTTCATGGGTCATGCTTTTTGTGTTTATCTAAAACCTCGTAGCCAAACCCACAGTACCTAGATTTTCTTCTTGGTATCTTGTAGAAATTTTATAGGTTTGTGTTTTACTTTAGATCTAATGATCCATTTTGAATTAGTTTTTTTGAAAGGTGTAGGATCATTGTCTAAATTAATATTTTTGTATATGGATGTCAGTGTTACAGTACCATTTGTAGAAAAGAGTATTCTTTCTCCATTTAATTGCCTTTGCTCCTTTATCAAACATCAATTGACTGTATTTGGACCTATTTCTGGGCTCCGTGTCCTGCTCCACTGATCTGCTTGTCCATTCTTTCACCAGTACTGTACTGTCTTGATTACTGTAACTTTATATAATCTCAAAGGCACGTAGTGTCAGTTCTCTGGCTTTGATCTTCTGCAAAATTGTGCTGGCCATTCTTGATGTTTTGCCTTTCCATATAAACATTAAAATCGGTTTGTTGATATCTTTCAACCATACTATAACTGGTTATTGGTTCCAGGAGTTCTTTGCGAACTCAGGGATTTTTCTGTGTAGGCAGTCATATCACCTATGAACAAAGAACATTCTTTCCTCCCAATCTCTATAGCTCTTACCTCTTTTCTTGTCTTAATGCATTAGTTAGGACTACCAGTAGAGTGTTGAATAGGAATGGTGAGGGAGGACATCCTAGCCGTGTTCCGGTCATAGGAGGAAAGCTGGCTTCTCACCATAGAGTTTTTTGTAGATGTTCTTTATCAGTTTGAGGAAGTTCTCCTCTATTCCTAGTTTAATGAGAGGTTTTATCATAAAGCTGGCGTTTTGTGTTTATTTTGTCAAACACTTTTCCTACATCTATTAATACATGGTTTTTCTTCTTTAACCTATTAATGTGATGGATTATATTATTTGACTTTCCAAATGATGAACCACTCTTGCACACCTGGAATATATCCACTTCGTTGTGTTGTTTGATTCTTTTTAATACATTATTGGATCCAGTTTACTAATATTTTCTTTAAACTGTTGGCATCTATGTTCATGAGAGATACTATCTTCTAATTTTCACTTCTTACAGTGTCTTTATCTGGTTTTGTTAGTAGGTGATTCTGGCCTCAGAATTAGGAAGTGTTCCCTCCTAATTTCACCTTCCCTTTTTGGGGGGCACCATCTATCATGTTTGTTGATAGTTACAAATCTGTATCTCAAGTCTCAAAACCCTGTATTTCCCTCATTGGACATTTCCACCTGGGCCCCTGGGCTTTTTAACTATATCACTCAGGCTTCATTATCTCTAGGAGATGTCTCCCAGCCAGTTTTTCTACCTTGTTTAATGATAACACTGCCCACTCAGGTCATTTAATTAGAAACCTTTGGGTCATTCTTACTGTTTTCCTTTCTTATCTTAAGAACTTGCTCTCAAATCTGGTCTCTTGTTCCTCTGTTCACATCTTAGTCCAGGTCTCGCCTTCTCCTGTCTGGAAGCTTCAGCAGGCCCTTCTTCAGTCTCCATGTCAGCAATATTCCAACGTCATTTTGTGCTTTTCACTGCCATCTGAGATGCTTTATTGAAAAACTAAACTGGTCTGTGGGCTTATAAACATTTATTATTTCCCTACCACTATAAAAGAAAATGTAAATTTATTACCCCAACCTATGTCTCCCACCTCAAAACTACATCCTCCTCAGGCCTTTCTTTATGCACAGTTTCCTAATAAGTTCTCCCATGGAGCTTTCCAAGCAAAGACAGATGTCTGTGTGGATTTAATAAGGGCTGCAAGATAGTTTCTCTTTGATCATGTTATCTTCCCCAGGAAGGTAAAGATCCTTTCATATTTATTTTTCACTAAGATTACATTTCAGTCAAATCATCTTGATTTTTGTTCACTAGCAATTTAATTTTAAAAGGCTGAAAAAAATAATGTAAAACTAAGTTTTCATAAGTCTCTTTTATGAGATAATAGTATGCTTCTTGTAGTCCAGGAACATATCTAGAAACAGTAGTGGTTGTGAGTACACATTTATTGAACTGAGTTGAAAAAGTTAAGGAATGCTTTTTAGAAGTAGCAGACCTTGGTTTTAAAAATAGTTGGATAAGTAATCCTGAGAAGGAAGAATAAAGCAGGGGGAGATTATGCTCCCTGATTTAAAGCTCTACTACAAAGCCACAGTAATCAAGACAATTTGTTACTGGTGTATAAGAACAGACCCATAGACCAATGGAACACAGTAGAGAACCCAGATATAAACCCAAGCATATATGGTCAATTAATATATAATAAAGGAGCCATGGATATACAGTGGGGAAATGACAGCCTGTTCAACAACCGGTTGTTGACAAAACTGGACAGCTACATGTGAGAGAATGAAACTGGATTATTGTCTAACCCCATACATAAAAGTAAACTCAAAATGGATCAAAGACCTGAATGTAAGTCATGAAACCATAAAACTCTTAGAAGGAAACATAGGCAAAAATCTCTTGAATATGAGCAACTTTTCCTGAACGCATCTCCTTGGGCAACAGAAACAAAATAAAAAATGAACAAATGGGACTACACCATGCTAAAAAGCTTCTGTACAGCAGAGAACACCATCAAGAGAACAAAAGGCATCCTACAGTATGGGACAGTATATCTGTAAATGACATAGCCGACAAGGGGTTAACATCCAAAGTACATAAAGAACTCACATGCCTGAACACCCAAAAAGCAAATGACCCTATTAAAAAAATGGGCGGAGGATCTGAACAGACACATCTCCAAAGAAATTCAGATGGCCAACAGGCACATAAAAAGATGCTCCACATAACTAATTACAGGGAAATGCAATTTAAGACCACAATGAGATATCACCTCACACCAGTTAGGATAGCCAACATCGAAAAGACGAGGAACAGCAAATGCTGGTGAGGATATAGAGAAAGGGGAACCCTCCTATACTGCTGGTGGGAATATTAGTTCAACCATTGTGGAAAGCAGTATGGAGGTTCCTCAAAAAACTCAAAATAGAAATACTATTTGACCCAGAAAATGGAAGCAACCTAAGTGTCCATCAGTAGATGAATGGATAAAGATGTGGTACATATGCACAATGGAATATTATTCAGCCATAAGAAGAAAACAAATCCTACTATTTGCAACAAATGGATGGAGCTAGAGGGTATTATGCTTAGTGAAATAAGCGGGCAGAGAAAGACATGTATCAGATGATTTCACTCATCTGTGGAGCATTAAGAACAAAGCAAAAACTGAAGGAACAAAACCGCAGCAGACTCACAGAACTCAATAATGGACTAACTGTTGCCAAAGGGAAAGGAACTGGGGGATGGGTGGGAAGGGAGGGAGATAAGGGCTATTTTGATGAGCACACGTAATGTTAGGGGGCGGGCACGGGGAAGGCAGTATAGCACAGAGAAGACAAGTAGTGACTCTATAGCATCTTACTATGCTGATGGACAGTGACTGTAATTGGGTATGTGATAGGGACTTAAAAATGGGGGGAATCTATTAACCACAGTGTTGCTCATGTGGTTGTACATTAATGATAACAAAATTTTAAAAAAAAAGAAAGTTGGATAGCCTAACAAGGGGAAGGACTTTTCTGTCATGGAAACAATGTATGTGGAGATAGGTGGGAATAGAGCCTGTGAATTCCACTGTGGCTTCAGTGTGTGATTGCGCTGGTTGGATCAAACAAAATGAGTCCATTGATAGAGTGCTTGGTGTCGGTATTAAGGAATTAAAATACATGCACATTGAGTTCTATATTTGATAGTTTCCTTATGAAGCATTTTTCAAATAAGTATATTAACTTTGGAAGTTTTTCTTGTATTGAACTAATTTTAAAAAAAACTGAAGTATTTTTAATACCTTTATTCTCAGGATCCAAGTTCGAAATATGGCGACTTTGAAAGATAGTAAGTACTTTATCTTCAATATGTGAATTAAGAAAAACTAAACTTTGACAGATAAAAACATTTTCAAAAAATATGTCTTAGCCCATGATATATTTTTTCAAAATGGTCTAAATGAATGTACATCATATGTGCAGAAAATGGAACTTGTTTTGGAAAAGACCAGTGTGAGGTGACCCACAGTTCTGATTTTATTGTCTGTAGCATGAGGATAGAACTAGAAAAAACTACTGTTTGTATAGATGTCAAATAGAATGTGTGGTTAAAGGCCATTTTCAATATCATTGAACGTTTTACATGCATATTTCCTGTTCTCTTCTGTTGCCATTTTCCTTGTCCTATTGAAGCGGCAACTAGGTTTGACTTTTATCAGTGCTAGTAGTGGCATTGAGCCTGCTTTAGCGTCATGCTTGCATTGATGGTCTGAGTGCTAATTTTATCCCACCTTGCAGCTTAGAAAGATATTTTGGTAAGTTCACAAATGAAATTATAACTCCTTTATCTTAACAGAGCACTTATATTTTCCAGTTACCAGGCGACTAAAGTCCATCAAAAACATCCAGAAAATTACCAAATCTATGAAAATGGTGGCAGCAGCAAAATATGCCCGAGCTGAGAGGGAGCTGAAGCCGGCTCGCGTGTATGGGACAGGGTCTTTGGGTAAGGGGTGCATGGTGCACAGATGGTGGGGGATCACTTAGCATAACAAAGGTCACCACTGATATTTTCTGTTAGTGCTTCCTGTGAAGACATGTCTATCCTGTGTATTTTCCCATTTTTGTCAGAAGTCAGTGCAGGTAGGAACTGTCAGCTCCTGCCTTCCAGATGAGAAAAGCCAGCATGCTGAAGTCGAGTACCTTGCCCAAATCCATACTTACATGTTTGGCCTAAAGCCTGTTAACCACTGTATGTGACTATGTGAACTTTTAAAAACTCTGAAAATTTTCCTAGATTATTAAATATGCCATCAAAAGAACTTGGTAATATAGTATATCCAATTCAGGTGCTTGGTTTCATCCTGTTACACTGATGTGATATTTTGGGGCTGTTGGGTTGGGGGAGCTGGCTGGTAGTCTGGTGACTCAGGAATACATATGATTGGAATCTTTCAACCTCAGCTGGAAAGAAGGAATAATTTTCTTATTTCCAAATTGAAAATATATCTATTTTCTGTGTATTGATGTGTATTAGATGTAAATTGCCTTGTGTAGTAATTCTCTTGTGCTCTTCCATATTTTTTTAAACATTGGTTTATACTGCGAAAGAAATTTTTGCATGAGGAAACAATAGAGCCCTAGGCTTTAGGGAAATGGCTCCATGTTTTAAAACTGCTATGATTAGTTTCACGAACAGGTATAGAGGAGATTCTAGGTCAGGGTTTAGCAATCTTTACCACCTCCAACCATTTGCTCTCATGAGTCCTGTTACCTGTTGAGCACAACTGAGCATATAGTTGCTGGCTCAGTAAAGGTTGATCGGTAAATCGCTATTTATTTATATATGAAAAGGGGAAGTGATTTCCGTATTGACGTTGATAGCTGACTTATTAATAAGTACAATAAATTTTGTTTCCCCCCAAAAAACTCTATAACCACAAAAGAATCAAATAAAGAAGAAACTCTCTTAAATAGCTGATTAGAGTATTTGTGGTAAAATACTAAAAATTCGAGTCAAGGCTGCCAATCAGCTTGTAAGTTCTTCAAACTAAAATACTAACTGCTAGGTATTAAATGGCTAATCATTTAAAATATTTAGAAATTTAAAATAGACATTCTGAACAATATAAAATACAGACTTAAAAGGATTATTTTCTTACTCCCCTGAACTTTGAAGTATTCTCTCTGCTTTTTATGGAGGGTCCTCAGGCATTGACCCTGCTCTATTCTGGAAAACGTACTAGAAGGGGTTTTGTCAAAATGGTGACTGTGGCTGCCGTGAAAATGCACCTCCCACCCACTGGGAGCACAGCTGCCAGGCCCACCCTGCGTTTGTACCCAGGCCATACCTCCCTGGCTGCTCCTAGCTGGCTCCTGAGCAGGCAGCATACTAAAACAGGAGTGTTTTGGGACACTTGGGAATCCCAGCAGCCTTGCTGAACTTTCCCCAAACTGCACAGGGTCCCAGGAAGCTGCCACCAGCTTTCTTCCTTCTCTTTCCTGTTGCCAGAGCTGTCCTCAGTGTGACCTGTCATCTCTCGCAGGCATCCCACATGAATTCTGTGTGTATTTCACCCCATTTAACCCCTTCTCGGCCTCTGCTTTTTGGAAGACTAAACCAACAAAGTGAGGTTGTGAAACGAATCCCAAAGATAAAGTAGCATCTGTTAATTTAATGTCAATGGTTTTATAAATTTTGTTACACCGTTTATATGAGCAGTTTATAAATATTTGCTTCCTACATTTTTGGCTGTATACTGAAGATCTGTATTCTTTAGAAGCCTGTTATCTAGATAAATGTTACCTCTGTAATTCTGGCCTCTACAAATTATTTAATTGTACTGGAGATTCCTTCTAGTCTGTATTTGAGGTGAGTTGGCCATTAAATGGCCTTTAGGAAGCTTTGTCACAGAGATTTAAACTTTATGGTTCTCAGTCTGATTGTAGAGAGTAAGTATACAGGCACTTGATTATGTTAGTCAAGGTTAAATTCATCATTTTGAAAACAGCCAACTCTTTGTAAATTAGCAGTTACTTACATGTATTTTAAAATTCTTGCCCTTTTTTGTCTTTAAGCTCTCTATGAAAAGGCTGATATTAAGGTGCCTGAAGACAAGAAGAAACACCTCCTCATTGGTGTGTCCTCAGATAGAGGGCTTTGTGGTGCAATTCATTCCTCCATTGCTAAACAGATGAAAAGTGAGGTGACCACGCTCACAGCAGCTGGGAAGGAGGTTAAGCTTGTTGGAATTGGCGATAAAATCAGGGGTATACTTCACAGGTGATTTAAGTACATATTATTTACATTTAAAAGGGTGCAAGCATGAATAAATGGAAGTTTCTTTGATAGTTCATTGAAGCAAAGTGTCTTTTTTGATTATCTGTTTTATACTCAGAGAAGTTTTTGTTTGTTTTTATTTTTTCCAAGATATATTAGAATACATAGATTTACTGTTTTCTACTTGTCTTTTGCTTCTCCTTTATCCAAACCATAAATGGAATGAAATGGGAATATAAAAAGCTAATGACATTTTTAAAAATGAGGACTCTTGAGATGCTGTCCCATCCAGAAATGTCAGATGTGAACAATAGTTAATTAGTATTGGAAGGAAAGAAATAAAGGCATAGAGGAATACAAAATAAGAAAGGCCTGATTGTTGGCCTTAGTTCTTTGCAGGCATTAAAGGCAAGGAATAATCTGTGATGGTGTATCAGTTTATTTCAGTGATCACCCTTCCCCCGAAAAAAGCTGCATCTGCAGTAGTAGTGCTTCTTTCCTGGGCCCTGAGAGCTCTCAGCAGAGGTATTCTGCTGACTTTTCTCATGTGATCTCTTTCGTACAGAACTCATTCTGACCAGTTTCTGGTGACATTCAAAGAGGTGGGAAGAAAACCCCCTACTTTTGGAGATGCATCAGTCATTGCCCTTGAATTATTAAATTCTGGATATGAATTTGATGAAGGCTCTATTATCTTCAATCAATTCAGGCAAGAAAAATTTAACAATCAAAGTTTTTAATGTTTCTGTTCATATTTTAAAATAAGTAAATGTCTACTTAACAAAGGCAAAAAATTATTACTTTGAAATTTACATTTGCTTTTGTCATTTCTAGGTCTGTCATCTCCTACAAGACAGCAGAAAAGCCCATCTTTTCCCTTGATACTGTTGCAGGTGCTGGTAAGTAGTTTTTGTATGACAAGTACTTTTCCACTTGGAAAGGAGAGATGTGTACGTTTAGGAAAGTAGTGTTTGTTAGGGTGGCCTGCTTCAGCAGGGGCAGAATGTTTCCATAACCACCTATTAGTGGCTTCCATGATACTGTCATACATTCATTGTTTAATAACTCTTACTCTATTTTTCATTAATTGAACAAATAAATACTGAAGGCATCATTAGACATGTTTTCTGTTCTCAAAGATTGAAGAGCTTAGTTAGAAAGTGGCTTTGCACACTGTGTCTGGGAACTCTACCTAAGCATAATATAGTCAGAAGCTCTATAATAGAGAACAGTGTTCTCAACTAATTTACACCAACCCACTCCATTCTCTTATTTTATTTGAATAGTCATCATTGCTCAGTGAAACAGCCTAGAAATAATGTTCTGGAACTGATTTTATTTTCCTAAGGCTTTTTCCCCTTCTATATATTAATAGATCATCTATTCTGAGATGTATACTTTTTGACATTTTAACATCTCTGAAATTGAGATCTTTCTACCTATCAGTGGCATGTCATTTTTAATTAGCTGTTACTTTCTTTCCTAATGGTACGTAAAATAGGGGTTATAATCCATAGCATCTTAAGTTTGATGAAATACAGGACTATTTCACCACTTTACCCTAATGAATGAATTTTAAAGAGTACTGCTAAATTTCTGGAACATAATGACTAAAGTGCATATCAGCCTCTAATTCCTCCCCTACTCTTCCATAATCTTAGAAATGTTCTCCCTCTCTCATTTTCCTGACGATACTGAGATCTCTCCAGTAATCAAATGGCTAAATAGGGATTTTTGTACTACACTGAATACACTGTACTGGTTTCAGTTCTTTGTTAATTTCTTTATTGAGGAAAACATTTAGCAAGTGTTTGCTGTCTTTGTGCCAGGCACTCCATCAATGCCATCTAGAGGACTTCATATCCATGAGATGTAGTGAAGTTATTAAGCATCTGAAGTAGAATATCAAAGGCTTTTACACATTATATTTTGCTGAAATTCTGCTGTAATCGATAGTGTGGAAATAAAAGAAACTTTTAGAACTGAGTCTTTTAACCTATCTTACATTAACTCTCTGATTAAAAAAAATTTTTTATTAAGTTATTATTGATGTACACTCTTATGAAGGTTTCACATGAAAAAACAATGTAGTTAATACATTCACCCATATTATTGTGTCCCCCCTATACCCCATTGCAGTTACTGCCTATCAGTATACTAAGATGCCACAGAGTCAGTGTTTGCCTTCTCTGTGCTACACTGTCTTCCCCATGATCCCCCCCCACACCATGTGTGCCAATCATAACACCCCTCAATCCCTTCTCCCTCCCTGCAACCCCACTCCCCCACCCCTCCCCTTTGATAACCACTAGTCCCTTCTTGGAGTCTGTTGCTGTGTTTTGTTCCTTCAGTTTTGCTTCATTGTCATACTCCACAAATGTAACTCTGATTATAAGGATTTTTATACTAGTAAGCTGACTTATTAAGTCACTCCTGTGCTGTATTGCTTCAAAGAAATGTATGACTTACTTAACAGAGAGTTTGAGTATCTACGATGATATTGATGCTGACGTGCTGCGGAATTACCAGGAATTCAGTCTGGCCAACGTTATCTACTATTCTCTAAAAGAGTCCACCACGAGTGAGCAGAGTGCCAGGATGACGGCTATGGACAATGCCAGCAAGAATGCTTGTGAGTGTGCAGCAGGTCTCTGCCAGGAGAGTTCTCTTGCTGAGAGTAGCATGAAGACCTGCCTTTAAATGCACTGCTGACATCCTTGAAGTAGACCAGGCAGCAAGAGAGCTAGGATCTAATCCTGGGCTTGTCCTGATTTTTGGAGTTTTTGAACAAATACTATCTCTTTCCTTGAATTTTCATTTGAAAAGATAGAAAAATAGTATTGTCTGCCTTAAAGGAAGTATATCTTTCTTGGCAGTAAATTTGCAAGTACTTTGAAAAGGTATCCCATGGAAGATGTAAAAGTATCTTCAGTAAGTTTTTTTTTTAGGAGAGCAAGGTACAGGCTTTTATTTAGAAATAAAGTGAGAGAACAGAGCTCCTGGCTCACACCAGGAGGGGACAAGAGAGCCCCCTTCATTAAGTTTTTTGAGAGACAATTTTGGGACCCAAAATTAACAGAATCTCTTTCTAAATTTTGAATAAGTTAATGAACAGAGTCACTCTTTTCTAGTGGTAGGTTTTGTTGTCTGATCTTTTGGTGTGTTTACAGCTGAGATGATCGACAAACTGACGTTGACGTTCAACCGCACACGCCAGGCTGTCATCACAAAGGAGCTGATAGAAATAATTTCCGGCGCTGCGGCTCTGTGAGTCATTGTGCAATGCCTTCAGAAACTTTCTCATCTGTGGCTGCTAGCTACAAGTTTCAATGTATAAAAGTTTCCAGTTTTGTTCTGTCTGTTAAAGATGAAATGATCCTTTTCTTGATCTTGTAACCTACTCTTAAGATATAAAGTTTTGGTGAAAGGGGGATCTGTAGTTCAGCTGAAACATTCAGGATTTGTTTCTTTTTGGAAATTTGTATATTGTTTTCAGTTTCCTAAAGCATTAGGAATAAGGTTGTGGATAATTCAGTATCAACTTATAAAGTCTGTTTTTAGAACTTAAAACATTACAAACCAAGTTTTTTGAGTTCAGGACTAGTTTTGGGTTTGGTTGCACATAAATCTGTATAAATCACTGAATGGTGGTAGGGTCCAGGATTTTTTACTTACTAAGTTTTCTTTATCAAGATAATTAACCACTTTCCTCAAAATTTCTTGGTTGTTGAGCTATGTTAATGTTTGTGACACAGGGGTTAAGGTAATGGGAATTCTATTGAGAAAACTATTGGATTGAACACCCACTGTGTGCAAAGTTCTAGGCACAGTGCTAGGCAATCCTTTCAAAACAGTGACATTCTAATAGGATAAGAAAAATATACAGATAATTTTGATGTATATAGTAGGTTATCTTTGACTACTTATCACCTCCTACTAATTGGTCAACAAGTTCTATAAATTTTACCTTCTAAATATCTGAATCTTTTCCCTTTATGCCCACTTAGTACAGATCCTTGTCCTTTCTCTCCTGAATTAAAAAACGTATTTTTTTAAGTGGCTCTGAAGTACCAAACCCTTTGATCAACACTGAGGATGTGCTGGTGACAGTAATTTCCTTCAGAGCTCACAGCCCTAACAGGGAGGGTAGATGTTGTATTAGAAATTGCACTTGAGCACAAGTCAGCAAACTGGCCCAGAGCTAAGAAGGGATTTTACATTTCTAAAGGGTCATAAAAAAGAGAGCGTGACAGTACATGAACCACAAAATCTAAAGTATTTACTCTCTGACCCTTGGAACAGTGTTCTGAGGAAAATAACAGAATCCATTCTGTTACATAATCATCCTTAAGCGATGGCTTAGCTTGATATTTGGGAGCCCTTATCGCCTGGCCAGCAGCCCTCTCATTTAGTCCCACAGATGACCAGTTCAGTCTTCCCTGGGCCTCAGCCACCTTGCTCCTCTTCCAGTCCCACAGATGTGCCATGCTCTCTTCTCCCCTTCACAATGGCATGTGCTTCTGCCTAAAGTGCCCTTCCTTTCTTCCCCTTGCACCTTGGTTTTTCATCTGACTTTCCTAAAAAAATAAACCTGGTTTGTCTTTCCTAACTGTGCCGAGAGTCCTTTCTTCCAGAAAATCCACCTTCACAGTTTGGGTGGGGTTCCCTCCTCTAGCATCCTGTGCTTACTTTTATCAGCAGTCACACCGCTTTACTGGAATTGTCTTTTTATTAGTGTATTCCTGTGGCATGGGAGGGACAAGGACTAGCCCACTTTATAGCCCTATCAACTGGTACATACTCCTCAGTAAATATTTGCTGAGTGAATGAATGGCGTGCCATAAGAACTGGAAGTTCAGAAGAGGGAAAAATAACATTTTACTGGGTATGTGAAAACACTGGTCCTTGTTTAAGAATCAGGGATAGGTTCATCAGGACGGTGAAGTTAGTTCTTAAGTGTTGCCTCTGAGGGTAGACACTGGACAGGATGCCGAAGAGACACAAATAAAACTGAGACCATTCTATAAGTTTTTCATTAGATCTGTCAGCTTTGCATCCTGTGCATCCTTCCTTCTCTTAACTGCTTTGCAAGCATGACTTTAACCCACCTCTCAGTCTGCTCACCAGTGTTGTATCATTAGCATCATAGCATCTAGTGCAGTGACTAAGACCCTGCCACTTCCTAGCTTAATAAACTTGGCTAAGATGCTCCTTCTATGACTTAGTTTTGTCATCTGTATCATGGGGGCTAATACAGGGATTAAGTAAACATTATTTATTAGCCTCCTTGCTCTCTGTGTCCTACTGCCAATGCTGATTTCTTTTTAGATGTTAAGTATGAGGAAGTCTAAGGGAAAGAACTGCATTCTCAAGGTTCCAGGGGCTGAGAGGTCCAGAGAACCAAGGTCCTCTTTTTCTCCTGAAAAAGGAATGCTAGGAATAAACCATGAGGATACAACATTTGCAGAACTGAGGACCAGACTC